GAGCGCCCCGAGACACAGGACGCCGGCCTGTGAATACGGGGCCACAGAGGGGGCCCCCGAGCTGGCCAGGCAGCCGGTTGTGGCGAATCCAGGCCAGAGCTCTGCTTCCCATCAGGACCGACCGCGACCTGCCAGCAGCCCGCGTCCCACCCCACTGCTTCTCACGCGGATCCTGTTCCCCTTCCCACACTCGCATCCACAGACAGCCCGCGAGGCACACGGTGGGGGCGGGGCGGAAGCACTGCCGGGGCTGTACCTGGTGAGTCCTGCGTCTCCGAGAGTCACCTCCTGGGCGTGTGCCGGGCACTCCCCCGGGAAACGGAGGGGACTCAGCCTCGCCCCTCCGCCCTCCGAGGCCGCACACACCACACCTGGGCCCTGGCGCAGCCTGCCCCCGTGCAGGTAACACAGCCGTGCGTTAACTAGCTCCAGAGTCCCTGTCAACCACAACGGCAGAAATTAGCCCCTGTTGGTCCAGTGTCAAGACTCCCGCTCCCAATGCAGGGACCACAGGTTCAATCCCTGGTTGAGAAGTGAAGATCCCACATGCCATGCAGCCAAATTAAAAAATAAAGAGAGAAAGAGACAGCAGGTGGGAGGGAGGCTCAAGGGGGCGGAGACGAGTGGGTATGTGCGGCTGACTCCTGTCTCTGAACAGAAACTAAGGCAACATCGTAAAGCAATCACCCTCCAATTAAAAACAAAACCAACGTGCTCTTGTAATCTTATAATTTGGAAATAAAACACAACTATATATAAAAATAATAATACAAAGAGAGAGAGAAGGTAACTCCTCAGCCCCACACTTTGCATTTCCACCCACAGATGCCACGCAGGTCCCTCACCCGGGTTGGGGGGACAGTGTTTCACCTGGAGTCACTCCCGTCTGCAGCCCTGGCCAGCCATGCCCCCCGCCTGCCGGTCTCACACGGGTCCAAAGCCCACACTCCCCATCAGGAAGCCCCAAGGCCCTGCGATCAGTTACCCAGGGAAGGGTGGGTGTGGCTTACATGCAGGGGTTTAGCACATAGTTGGCTGAGCCCCTACCTGGCCTGCGAGCGGCCGGAGCTTGGTCCTCCTGCTGGGGCGTCCCTGGGCGCCGCCCTCCCCACGCCTGTCTGCCGAGACAGCAGCCCACTGTTCCCAGCGCTAATTGGCTCGTTTCATCTGAAGCCATGGTGAAGAATAGGCGCATTCATGCCGGGCCAGTGAGGTGGACGTTGTCCCAGGCTAGGACTGGACAGACGCCCTGTCACGGGGTTAAAAACACAGGACACAGCTGCCCTTGTTCCCGCCGTGGGTGCCGAGCCCCAGGCCCCACGACCAGCCACGCGGGGAAGAGGGGAGTTGGCCGTGAGTGAAGACACAGGGGCAGGGAGGACACACGTGCGCCAGGGGGAGAGTGGCCCTGGCAAACGCCGCGAGGGCCCCAGGACTCTGTGCACACGGGGTGCAGAGGGGGACCCCTGCAGCGACGCTGGTGCCCCAGGACGCTGTTTCCGTGCACCCCTGAACCCCACTGGCAGGAAAGGCGTCGCCTTCCTGCTCGACAGACTACATCCCAAATCACAAACCCCTCATCCAGACCCTGAGAAGATGGTCACTAGACCAAACCGAGTGCCGAGAAAATACAGGACAGACTGACGCGTCAAAGACCCCTCAGCTCAGGTCAGTCCAGTTGCTCAGTGGTGTCCGACTCTTTGTGACCCCATGGACTCCAGCACGCCAGGCCCTGTCCATCACCAACTCCTGGAGCTTGCTCAAACTCATGTCCATCGAGTCAGTGATACCATCCAACCATCTCATCCTCTGTCGTCCCCTTCTCCTCCCACCTTCAATCTTTCTCAGCATCAGGGTCTTTCCCAATGAGTCAATTCTTCACATCAGGTGGCCAAAGGATTGGAGTTTTAGCCTCAGCATCAGTCCTTCCAGTGAACATTCAGGACTGATTTCCTTTAGGATGGACTGGTTGGATCTCCTTGCTGTCCCCTCTCCGTAGATGCCAAAGAACACTGCAGAAAACTGTACCGACCAGCCCGGCACCAAGAGGTGTGTTTATCTTGCTGAACCACCTGGTCAGACTTGCAGAGAGGTCCTTGGGCATGGAAGGGCCTCTTCCTCTGTCCCATCCTGCCATCTCCTGTCTCCTCACCCACCCCCACTTTGGTCTGGGAAAACCTGTCTGTGGGCGGCTCTGCTGAAGCCCCACAGTTTCACGCAAAGTTCAGTGGAGGTGGTGTCCCTGAAGGAGGCGTGGAAATAGGTCACTGGAAGTGTTCCTGCCTGCGGACCCCTCCAGCGGTGCTGCCTCCCCCACACCTGCCAGGCTCAACCAGCATCTCCTCTGGGGCGGGAGCTCCATGAAACCCTGGAGCCCTCTTGGGTGCCCCCCCCAACTAGCTCCTGGCTGTACATGGCCTGGTGGTCCCGGCTCAGGGGCTGAGGCCCAGAGGGACACATGCTACATGGAGGGACTTTCCCCAAATCAGAGCCTTTTCACCTACAAGAACTGCCAAGCAGCAAAACCCTTGGAGTAGGCTGATTTCAACCTGGAACATCTGCTCTTGCGCTGGTGAGCGGTGGGGATCAGCCCGGGGAATCCGAGAGTGGGTTCTAGTCCAGCCGCAGTCGTTGGCCACGAGGTCAGTCCTCCGGGAGATGCGGTGGCAGGGGAGGCGGGAGGGTCAGGAGTGGCTCCAGGTGAAGACCCACCAGCAGACTCTCATTTCTTTTGTTTTTAATAGATATATAGAATTGTATTGATTTATTTATTTAGACCATGCTGGATCTTCCTTGCTGCGCAGGTTTCTCTCTGGTCGGGGGGAGCGGGCCTCTCCGGCTGCGCAGGTTTCTCTCTGGTCGGGGGGAGCGGGCCTCCCGGCTGCGCAGGTTTCTCTCTGGTCGGGGGGAGCGGGCCTCCCCGGCTGCGCAGGTTTCTCTCTGGTCGGGGGAGCGGCTTCTCCGGCTTCGCAGCGCGGGCCGAGGGCACTCACGCTTCAGTAGCTGCAGCTCGTGGGCTCAGGCATTTTGGCTCCTGGGCTTTAGAGCCAAAGCTCAATAGTGTGGCGCACGGGCTCAGCTGCCCCATGGCATGTGGGATCTTCCTGGACCAGGGATCGAACCTGTGTCTCCTGCATTGGCAAGCAGATTCTTTACCACTCAGCCTTCTGGGGAGCCCCAGACTTTGATTTCTGACTTTATCTGCTGCTTTTAGAAAAGAGTCCCTCTGTTCCTTCAAGGTTTTTTTAAAAGGCCCTCCTCTCCCTTACTACATGGAAGGAGAGCGTGGGCAGACCTGGTGGGCAGAGAACCAGGAAGCAGCTCGTTTCCCCCTGCTGACCAGGGTCCCAAGTGCAGATGGAATTAAAAAAAGAGAGAGATAGTGAAGCCAGAGCAGGCATTAATTAAAACTCAGGCGGCCGGTTCGCAGGGCTGGGACCCACCAGCGGTGCGCCAGCTTGCTGACGGCAGGCACGCTGACACGTCCTTCAGTCTCCTTCTAAACCTGACTTCATTACGGCCTGCAGGCTTCTTGGCAAAGCTTTGCTCTAATCTCCCAAATGTTGCCAGGAAAAAAAAGATGTTGGATTTTAATTGATTCACGCCATTTCTCAAGCCAACTGCTCTTAGCAGCGCTTCTCAAGACGAGTCACCCACACGTGTGAGCAGCCGTGTGACCGCCCCACGGCGTCCTGGGGACGTGCTCACTGGCACAGCGCTCCTGCTGGAGCAAGAACGTGCGCCTACCTCCCAGGGAAGAGCCGCCCTCCCCAGCTGCCGCTCTGGCTCCTGGAGGAAGAACAGGCAAAGTAGATGGCCGCGGTCCCAAGCAGTCTGCCTCAACGTGCCCCAAAGTGGACGAAGCCCTGCAACCCAGGCGGAGGGCTTGCCTGCCGTCCTCGGTGAAGGTGGGGGTGCAGGGCTCTGGAGGGCCTGGTTCGGAGCCAGCGCCCCGGGGGTGGGAGGGTGCTGTCTGTGGTGCTGAGCTCTCCCACCTCTTCCCAACCTCACTCCCCGACCACGCCCAGGGGCGAGCTGACCCCACCCGAGTGGATGCTGCAGTCAGCGCCGCTGGTCCCTGACTCACACCTGGCTTTGCACGTCGGCCCCGCAGTGGCGCTCTCTGGACTCGTCCACGCCCCGCCTGCCCGCCCAGCCAGCCCGACAACTCCCCCACCCCGTGTCGGCCAGCGCCCTGGCCTCTGGCCGGGCCTCCAGGTTGGTCTGCGCCTGTGGGATGAGCGGCAACAGGAGCAGTAACCAGAGGCTGCTCGCTGAGCTCGTCCGCGTGGGAAGCTCCTTGATGGCCCTCACACAGCCACGCCCCTTTCCCTAACCTCTTGGCGGACAGCCCCTCCCAGGCATCCCCGTCGTATTAGCTGAACTCTCCCCAGAGGCCCTGCCGGTCTCCCCAAGCCGTGGTTGACCCGGCACTGGCAGTGGCGTGAGGACCTGTTTCCGGGTGCAGACGCCACACCCCCTTCCAAGCTCACAGGGCAGTGTCTCCGGGTCCACCCAAGGTCGCTTCAAGTGTGACCTCGAGGCTGTGACCACATGACCTCGAGCTTGAGCCCCACTTCACAGCCAGCTTTCTGTTCCTGGCTCCAGCCTGGACGGAAACCATCACCTCCAAACTCTGCGACACTCCACGGGAGCAAAAGAGGGTGTCAGAACCTTTTCCAGGTGATGGTGGGCTGGTGAGGTGAGAACTCACTCACTTCCCATCTAGAGGCACCAAAGATCCTGAGAGGCCAAATTCCAGGGCCCGTCTGGACAGAGAGACAATGCATTACGGAAAGACCAAGGCAGCTTACACCTACAGCCAACAGCCTCCGGGAGGAGAAGGAGGACAGACCTGCTCCAGGCCCGGGGGCGTGGGGTCTCACTGGATACCCTCCCAGGGCTAAGAGAGAGCCAAAGGGCTAACCACTGGGGGCAACCGTCCGGGGCCACTCGAGAACCGTGCTCACTCCGCTGCCCCCCATCCCCTTCCACGAGGCTCAGATGGTCTGCCGTGGACGCAGCGGCAGCTGCAGCAGAAGCCCAGCCCTGGGGACCCCGGGCAGCAGAGGGTCCCGCACGACCCGTGACCAGCAGGCAAGGGCCTCCAGGCGGGCGGGCAGTCTCTGCGAGACGGGCTTGCTCAGCTGAGGCCTCAGGGAGAGCCACACACCGTGGCGCAGGGACAGCGGCTCACGTGCAGCCTGTGACACCAGGGAAGCCGGGGCAGGTGAGCAAGAACCAAGTCTAAAAAAGAGCAAGAGACCCACACAACCTTCAGACACAGAATTGACAACTACCGATTACAGAACACCAACTCTTTCTACGTTTTAAATAGATTTTAAGTTTTGGAGCAGCTTTGGGGTCACAGCATAGCTGAACAGAGGAGAGTCCCCAGACACCTCGCCCCCCACTAAAGTCTCGTTCTTTTTTTTTTGGCCCGGTCGTGCGGATCTCAGTTCCCTGATCAGGGACTTAGCCCGGCCTGTGGCAGTGAGAGCTGAGCCCTCACCACTGGGCCGCCAGCGAATTCCATGGTTCCATTTCGTTGTTTTTTTAAAGAAATGGTTAGAACCTTGAAAACAACTGCATGGAGTATTAAACAATGAGACATGATGTCCCAAACCTAAATAAAACAGGGAGCACTTTCAAAAAATAAGTGTAATAGCTGGACTTTAAACCTAACAGACACCTGATGGCACAGGAATGAACAGGTGGTGGAAGACGACCCAGAAACGAGCACAGAGAAGGCAGAATGCACAAAGGGGAGAGAGGCAGAGACAGGAGGAGACGGCTCTCAGGAGGAAAAGGGAGGGACAGCCTCCGACGCAAAACCTGTGCAGGTGTGACTGAGAATTCTCTGAAATTGATGAAAGACAACAATCCAAAGAGCCAATGTATGTCAAAATCAAGGCACATCACGATGAAACTTGAGGAAAAAAGAAGCAAAGAGAAAATAATAATATCTGCCAGAGGAAAAAAGCTTATGTTCAGAGGAAGGACTGTTCGACAACTGACCAACTTCTCATCAGAACAAGAGAGGCCATAAGACAATGGAATGAAGGAGTAAGTGTGCTTTAAAAAAACAAAACCTGCCAAACAAGAATTCTATCCCCGGTAAAAATATACTTCACCCTGACTCTTTTTTTTGTTGTTTTGCTAGTTGTTTTGGCTGTGCTGCATAGCATGCGGATGTCAGTTCCCCAACCAGGGATCAAACCTGGGCCTCATGCATTGGAATCACAGAGTCTTAAACACTGGACTGCCAGGGAAGCCCTTTCACACTCATTCTTGAAAGAAAAAATTTTCAGACCAAAAACAGAAAGCATAAATTGAGCGTGGATGCCAACACTGAAGAAAGGAAAGGAAAGAATCAGCCTCAGGATGTCTGGTCCCAAATGGACCTTCAAGAGGCCAGGAGAACAGAAAGGGCGCCAAGTACTAACTACCCGAGGAGCTGCAGAAGCTAACGATGATTTCCAGTGCTGCTACGAAGCAGACAGATAAAAGCTAAATGCCAGACAACAAAACATAAAGCTGCTAGAGGGAGAAGCGGAGGTGAAGTAAGTATTCTGGGTCCTTGTATGACCTGGGAGGAGGTTCTGGTTCACTGCAGCCTTGGTGAGGTAACGATGCTGCTAGCCTTCGGCGGTAAAGAACCTGCCTCCCAATGCAGGAGTCCCGGGTTCGATCCCCTGGTTGGGAAGATCCCCTGGAGAAGGAAATGGCAACCCACTCCAGTAGTCTTATCTGGAAAATTCTATGGACAGAGGAGCCTGGCGGACTATAATCCATAGGATTGCAAAGAGTTGGACGCGACTGAGCAACTTCACTTCACATTGCCTGGACAAGGTGCCTGAACACGCCCTGGTTTAGGACCACCTTCTTACTTCCCTGGGGTCACGTGGTCAGGAACGTGGACAAAGCTCGGGGGGGTGGGGTAATTCCTGGAGTGGCCGCACCCCCACCAGCCTCCCGCTCTCACTCCCTCGGTTCAGAAGGGTCTGCTTTCGGATGAAAGCGCAGGGCCCCTCACCCCTGACCTGGAGGTGGCTGTGCCCCGCCGTGGGCACCCCAGAGCCAGCCTGCCGAGACGGCTCTGCAGAGGCTGCTGGCTCCCCGACACCCAGCCCAGCGGCTCGCAGCATCACCGCGAGACCCCACGAGGAGCCCAGACCCAGCTTCAGTCTGCCGCCCTTATCTCCAAACCACCACCACCAACCCCCTAAGAGACCGCGCAGGAGCCAGTGAGGGTGGGACAGAGACAGGACTAGGGGCTCGGAAACCAGCAGTGAGTGTGACCCTCGGAATGGAGCGGCCCCCTGGAGGCGGAGGCTTGGTGGGTTAGACCCCTGGACCAGAGGATGAACACACTTGCAGTTTCACACAAGAAAAACAGCAAGAAAAGAAAACCCTGCCATGAGCATTCAATGATAAATGACAAAATAGAGAAAATATAGGCACCTATGTGCTCAGCCGCTCAGTCGTGTCTGACTCTTTGCGACCCCAGACCGTAGCCCACCAGGCTCCTCTGTCCATGGGATTCTCCAGGCAAGAGTACTGGAGTGGGTTGCCATGTCATCCTCCAGGGGATCCTCTCACCCAGGGATGGAACCCACATCTCCTGCATTGGCAGGCAGATTCTTTTACCACTGAGCCACCTGGGAAGCCTGTACATGCACCTTATATCACAGGTCAAAAGCTAATATATAAGGAACTTCAGAAAACTGAGAAGAAAAATCCAAACAGGCCCAGAGGAAAAGAAAGGAAAAAATAGGCAAGAGCTTTGAATAAACTGCTCACATAAAATGAAATGCAAATAGTCTTTCAATGCATGAAAAGATGCTCAACTTCACTCACGATAAGAGAAATGCAAATAAGATACACTGACATCACCATTTCTCGCCTACCTGGCAAGCCCCCAGAAGTTTGACAACACTGTCTGTTTTGAGGCTGTGAGAACCAGACTGGTAGCATGCCACACAACAGTGGGACTCCTGGGGAGGGGGTTTTGGCAACACATAACAAAAGTACATAGTCATTTCACTTTTGGCCTAGAAATCCCACTTCTAAGAATCTAGTTAAGATATACTAAAAAATGTATGAAAACCATGTGCACATAAGGATATTCACAGAAGAACTGCTTCTAGCAGCAAAAGACAGGAAACAGCCCAAATATTCGGGGACTGAGAGCTCTCTGACGAGGCTGAGATCCAGCCCTTGGGGGAGTACTACACAGCGGAGAACAAGGGTCGGGCGATCTCTCCACTCAGCGACGCTGAGCGCTGGCACTGACTGAGCCCAGCAATCGTGGAGCAGGGCATAGAAGGCCTCTGCTCCCCCAGACAGGACGGGGGACGCAGAAACACGCACGCGTGGCCTGTAAGACTGCCAAGGGGAAGCACTGGTTAGAAACGGCTCTAAAGGACTCCCATGGTGGCCTGGTGGTTCAGAGTCTGCCTGCCAGTGTAGGGGACACGGGAGGATGCCACAGGCTCAGGGTCGGCTCAGCCTGCACATCTCAGTCACCGAGCCGAAGCCCGAGAGCCCGAGCTCCCCAACAGGAGAAGCAACCGTGGCGAGCAGCCCCATCCCCGTAACTAGAGAGAGCCTGCCTGCGGTGACAAAGGCCCAGTGCAGCCAAAAAGAAATAACTGTTAAAAAACTACCTTAAAGACATTACCAGCGGAGAAGAGAGAGGTGGTTAAAAAGACAAACGTGGAGCCAGTCTGCTCTGAAGAGACTTCGGCTCATAGCTCTATGTATTTTAGCACAGAACTAAAACAAAATTAAATCAGCATGAAGGGAAACCAAAGCCACTCCTAAAAAGTGAAAGCAAAGTGAAACAAATGAGCTTGGTGAATTAAAGGCAAAAAGAAAAGCAAAGAAATTAAGCCTTTTTTAAACCAACCACAGTGTTTTAACACATTGGTATTATTTTGAAACAAGGAGAACCAAGTGAAGAAGTCATCTTACACAAGTCATTAGGAGCCAAGGATCTCAGTCGAACAGAAAGGAGATGGAAAAATAAACAATTATCTGCATTTTAAAATTTGAATTTAAAACGCCAGTATAAAATCATGATATATTTTATCTTAAAATCATTTCTACTCTTGTCCTCTGGCAATCTGGGAAGTCGAGACCAACACAGAAGTCGTGAACTCCCCTGCACCCAACTGCCTGGGGTTTTAGACATTTTGCTGAAAAGACTGGGAGCACCCAGGGAGAGGGGTGATTCCAGCTTCTGCAGAACACGGGTCTGGTGAGCCCCTCAGACCAGAGCTGGAGGAGACGGTCCAGGACCACGGCGGTCTGGTCAGAAGGGTGCAGGGAGAACACGCAGGAAAAGATGCTGGACGTGGAGGCCAGCGGGTCTCTTAGAAAAGACACAAAAAGAAATAACCACACACACACAAAACCTGATCAACACACTTCATCACATGTAAAACTTCTGCTCATGAAAGGTCCACACTGGGGGTTCCCCGGCCGTCCAGTGGTTAGGGCTCCGTGCTTTCACTGCTAAGGTGCGGGTTCAGTCCCTAGTTGGGGAGCTAAGATCCCACAAGCTGCGTGGCACAGACAAAACAAAAAAAAAAAAAGAAAAAGAAGAAGGGGAAAGCAGTGGCCCAGAGCTAACACTGAAAGCTAAAACCCAGGGAAACTTTCCATGTACAGAAAAAGACCTGAAATCTATGCATCTCAAAGCCGGTAGTGTGTGCTTAGAAAAATAAGCCCAGACCAGTCAGCTTTGAAACATTTCCAGTGAAACTGCTAGACTTCAAAGCCGAAGATAAAATCCTCAAGGCCTCCAGGCAGAGAGAGCGGAGTCGAATGTGACCAGTGTCACGTAAAACCAACACAGAAACGGAGAAACAATGAAAAACATTTCTTGAAAAAGTAAAACACCACAGACACACAACCTCAGTGAAAGAAACCACGAACCGAGGATTTTGGAACTAGCCAAGCCGAGAACATCTTGTTGTTCCAGGAAGCAAGAGAGAAATGAGAGAAAAAAATATTTAACTTTAAAAAAAGGAGAAAAGAAAAAGACGGGGCTGTTGGGAACCCAGCAGCAGGCTGGGGCTGCCCCTGAAGCCAGGGCTGGACCGTCTGGATCCTAACCCGCAGAGCAACGCCGTCCCTGTGAGGCCACGATGGGGACAGACAGCCAGGCAAACGGCGAGGCGAGGACAAGGCTTCCCGCCGGTGAGCAGAAAGGGAAGCAGGGCCCGGGGGCCCGGCAGCAAACGGCGCGGCGGTAACTCAGACGCAGGAAGTGAGGTGCTGCACTGGTGAGTCAGGATCCAGGGACCAGGGTCTGCGTGTCTCAGAGCGTCTCCCCAGGGTGCGCACCGGCCAAGAAAGGACATCACTGTCAGCGAGCCGTGAGGACACGGCGACCTCCAGACGCGGCTCGGGACGCCAGGCGCGCGGGCCCGGAGGGCAGGGGCTGGGGGCGCGGTGGGAGGTGTCTGGTCAAAAGTGCACATCACGTTCCCATCCCAAGAAGCAGCAGAGAAACTCACATGGAGGAGCACCGTGGCTCAGGCGGTAGAGTCTGCCTGCAAGGCAGGAGACCCCGGTTCGATCCCTGGGTCGGGAAGATCCACTGGAGAAGGGATAGGCTCCCCACTCCAGTCTTCAGGCCTGGAGACTCCCACGGACGGAGGAGCCTGGAGGGCTACAGCCCACGGGGTCGCAGAGTCAGAGGGCACTGAGGCACTTTCTCTTTACAAAACTAGTCGGTACACAGTTCATGAAAGTATCAACCTTCACAAGAGACAAGGCAAGCTTCCGGAGGGTCAGAGACTGCAGGAGACAGAACGGGGTCGGGGGCGGGGGTCCTGTGTAGACCCCGGGACAGAAAAGGGGGTTCAGTGGGGAGCTGGGGCTGGGCGAGGAGGCCTGTCTCCCAGTGAACCGTGCAGGAGTGCCAGTGACTGTCCCGGTTCTGACCACGAACCACATGAAGATGTTAACGTCAGGGGAGCCTGAAGGGCTGGGTGCTATGTTTGCCACTTTTTGACAAGTCCAAAATTAGTTACGTGTAAAACTTCAAAAAATATATCCAAGATGTGCACCAAGGGAGGCTCCTCAGAGAAGAGGTGAACTCCGCTCGGCTGAGTCTCCGAACCCCTACGAGGCAGAGGCAGACAGAAAGTTCCCTGACCTCACCCGTCTCTAATCAACTCCCAAAGACCCCATCTCCACGTACCACCACCTCGGGGGGCAAGGCTTCAAATATGAACTTGGGGGGGCCATAACTCAGCTCCCAGCAGTACCTGTGAGTGTGCAGGAGTTACCTGTACAGGCCTTAACCAGGAGCAGTACTGACTGTCTTGATCTTCCTTACCTCTGACATCAGAATTTCCTTTCTAATGGCGGGGGTGAGCCAAGGGGGTCCAAGCGCTCACCGGGTGTCCCTGTGAAGGCCTGGGAGGGGCCCATCGCACGTGGGGATACTTGCACAGAGGGTCCCCGAGATCCTGCAGGAGCTGAGGGGACCCAGTGCTCATCTGAGTCCTGGGGGAGGCCAGTAAGCAGGCCCTGGCCTGCGGGGTCTTTGCTGGACGCTGCTGTAGGGGAGCTGGCTGGCCTGACCACCGGCAGCATGGAGGGTGCGGGGCCCAGGGCTGCTTGCACAGGGCACACCCGTGTGATGGCATGAAGACACCTATTTCAGGGTCCGGTGGGCCGCGAGGCTTGACCCCATCACTGAGGTCAGCCACGGGCAGGTCACCCTCAACAGGAAATGCAGGCTGGGCCTTAAGGACAAGCCCTCACACCTCTGCCCTGGACTATGCCTGGCACAGCACGGTACTGGGGCTAAGTCCAGCTCACAGCCAGCCGAGCCCTGATAGGAAGGGTCCAGGCCCAGGGCCCCACGGAGGGGCAGGGGGGGCGTGCAGGCCAGGCAGCTCTGCTGGGAGAGGGGGTCTTCAGAGCCCCGGGCCGGGCAGGGCAAAGGGGAGGGCGCAGCCGGAGGAGGGTGGAGGCCCAGGTGGAGGTCCCGTCTCTGGACTGTGCCTGAGAGACACGGGGCGCCCTGCTCATCTGTGACTCGGACAAGGGCCTCCCGTGCCCCGGGCTCAGGCCCCTCGCTTCCGCAAGGTTCACTGTGAGACAGTCGCTTCTGCACGTTCCAGCTCCTGAGGACGTGCCCCGAGCCTGGCTCCCCGGCCACACCCCACCCTCGGGCCTCTCCTCGGCCGTGCAGTACGCCCTCCTCTCAGGCAGACTCCCGCACACAGGAAGGGGAACCAGGACGGTGCCTGGCACGCAGCAGGGGCTGTGCGAGGAGTGACACTCTTATCATGACGTCCCTCTTTCTCACTTTTTTCTTTCTTGTAACAGTTTTTATCGTTGCGCCATGTTCACAATTGCCCAGACCTTGCCAGTATCATGAATGCCAACTCAGGGTTTCAAAATCCCAGACCCTGAGACTTGCTGGTGGTGATGCCACCAACTGCCTCCGGAAGGCACACCAACCTTCTGGTGACGTGCTCTTGAAATGTTCAGAGGAGAAAGTGAAAGTGTTAAGTCAGTGTCCGATTCTTTTCAACCCCGTGGACTGTAGCCCACCAGGCTCCTCTGTCCATGGGGTTCTCCAGGCAAGAATACCGGAGTGGGTTGCCAGGCCATTACTCCAGGGGACCTTCCCCCTCCCAGAGATGGAATCCAGGTCTCCCACATTGTAGGCAGGTTCTCCACCATTTGAGCTACCTGGGAAACACTCCTTAATACAAAGGAGAAACGTTGCTCCTTAATACAAGAAGGTCTATCTGCCAGAACTGTGGGAGAAATACTGCAGGTATTATAATTGCCAAATCGAGCCTTAATTCACGGACACAAATCAGCTTTCAGAGACTCCCAAAGGGCCAGGAGGGCCCCAAACCCCCGTGTTTATTCCACTGAGCCGAGCAGACACCCTGCCTGGCACGGTTCCCTCCCCCTCCCCAGGTGGGCAGTGATCCTCCCCCCAGGTGGGCGGTGGTCCTCCCCCCAGGTGGGCGGTGGTCCTCCCCCCAGGTGGGCGGTGATCCTCCCCGCAGGTGGGCGGTGGTCCTCCCCCCAGGTGGGCGGTGATCCTCCCCGCAGGTGGGCGGTGATCCTCCCCCCAGGTGGGCGGTGGTCCTCCCCCCAGGTGGGCGGTGATCCTCCCCCCAGGTGGGCGGTGATCCTCCCCGCAGGTGGGCGGTGATCCTCCCCCCAGGTGGGCGGTGGTCCTCCCAGCCCCTGACAGCCCTGCTCCCTGGCCGCTGGAGGTCGAGGGGCACTTCCCATTCCTGCTGTCCCGCAGCTCAGAGCGAGGACCTGCGGCGTCACCCAGGCCCCGATACCTGCAGACAACAAGCGGTAGAGAAGCTCCCGCGCTCTGGCAGCGCAGGAAGAGGAAAATGAATCAGAACCTAGGGTGCGCAGCAGGAAGGAGCTGCTGAGAAGCGGATCCGCTTCTCCCAAGACGCAAGGTCAAAGGGAGGGGCAGGTTTTTCTAGGAAAACTGGAGGCCGGCGCCTCCTCTCTGGCTCCTGACAACCAATCAAACCTTTCATTCCATAGCTTCCGATTCCGTGAGCATCAGACAGCTATGTCGCCACCCCCGGAAACGGGAACGCAAGAGGTTGAAAACTGGACATCAAAAAAAAAAAAAAAAAAAAATCGCCAGGGCCGCGCCTTCCTGAGGTGGGCGACGCATAAACGCCGGAGTCGAGGCTCCCAGCGCCCACCTGCGCGTCCACCCAGGCCCTGAGGCCGCGGCGCAGTGGGGCCTGTGCGGCTGTGCGCCTGCCGCCGCGCCCCGCCGGGTCCCAGGAAACAAGCTCGGCCCAGAGCGGTGGCCGAGAGCCCGCGGCGGCACCTGGAGACCCCTTGCCCCCGGCGAGGGCGCCTCGGGGGCGCAGGACCCCCGGCCGCCGGGATGTCACCCCGCTACCCTGTCAACTTCGGGCCACCCCCGGACCCCCTCCGGGTCACCCCAAGGCCATCCCCGACAACCCTGGGCCACCTTACGGCCACCTACAGACCACTCCCATCCCAGCCCTGGTCCATCTCCGGGCCATCTCCTGGGCCACCTCCGGGCCGTCTCCCGGCCGCGGGTGGGGACTAGCGTGCGCTGCCGGCCCGCCACCCCGCAGCCACCCTACCGCGCAAGGCGCGGGGGACGCACGGTGCCAGGCGCGGGCGCAGCGCGGAGGCCCGACCGGGTCGCGGCGGCGCGCGGGGCCGGGGGCGGCCGGGGCTGCTCACCGAGGCTCCCCGCAGGCGGGCGGCTCCGGGGCTCGGGCGGCGGCGTCCGACGGCCCGGCTCAGCCATTGCAGTGGCGCTGCGGCGGGCGGGGGGCGCGCGTCACCGCGGGCGGGCGCCCCAAACCCCGGCGTTCCCCGCCCTCCCCGCCCCGGCGCGCGGCCCCGCCACACCCCAGCCCCACCTCCTCGCCTCTGCTTCTGCCCCTCCGAGTCCTTTCAGGAGCAGGTCTGCGGTCTATTAAAATCCGGAGACCTCGTGGCCGAAAATAGCCCGGCTGCGGCGGGGAGGGCTCTGGGCGGCCCACACGCCGCAGCCGGACCCGCGGGGTCTAGGGGACGGTCGAGGGGGATCGCTCACCCGCACTTCAGTCGGAGAGCAGCCGCAGGAGGTGGTCGCACGTGTGTGTTTAACCGTTAACTCGCGGCAGCCCACCTCCAAATGCTGCCTGTCTCGGCTCGGAGGAGGGAGAAGTGGTTTTTGGAGCCTCGCGGGGAGCAAATGAGCTCCGGACCGGATCCCCAAATCCATGGTTAGGCCGCGCCTCCGGGGCCCCCTGGCGCCAGGACCCCCACCCCCACCCCGCCACCGCTCCATCCTCTGGGGGCCCCACTTGGAGTTGCTGGAGAAGGCACAGTTAACAAACGTGGAGGAAGGAAGAGTGAATCGTGTTTACCATAACCTGTGTACGGGGAAAGCTTCCCAGTGGGACGCGATCTTTCCCCGGATACCAGAATGTATGACCGCGAGGCCAGCGTCCGGAGCTCAGACAGCAAACGCGGGCCCTAAAGTGTGCCGGTGCTGGGGCTCGCCCTCCGTGTCCCGGCCCTGCTTTCTGGGCACAGGACCGCCGGTGCCGCTTATCGGCTGCCGGCTGAGAACACGTCTGAGAGACAGAAGATTGGGCCCTCAGGTCGCCCGTCTGAATGCCGGACACCGGGAGGCCCCGGCCGCATGGGGTCCCGCCCCTTGGGTCCTTGGTGAGTGGCCATCGTGGGGGGGGTGAGGGGGGGTTAGTGTGAACTGAAGAGGGCTCTCAGGAAGGCTCCTGACAGCAAGGAAAACCACGGCCAGGATAAGCATCCCCTCGGGAGGTCCCTGGAGAAGGAGGTGGCAACCCACTTAGTATTCTTGCCTGGAGAATCCCATGGACAGAGGAGCCTGGCGGGCTGCAGTGTGTGGGGTCACAGAGAGTTGGACACGACCGAGCGACTAATGCGTGTGCACGCACACACACACACACACACACACACACATACGCGTGCGCGTGCCTGCGCGCACGCGGAGGTCCCATGGCCGGGCAGGCTGGAGCCCCAGGCTGGGACCCCACACCACCCACCGCTCCGTGTTGGTCTCACTGCCGATAGACTGCGTGCTGGGTGGCGGCAGTATCCAGACTGGCCTCAGTGGGGAGAGACCCAGTTCGGTAACCTGCAGATGGTCTGCACCTGTGCCGCACTGGCACTTCTTTTGTGGGCATTTTGTGCAAAGAGTGGGCTGGCTGGACAAGGCAGCTGGCCGACACGGGCAGAAAGGGCCATCTTCTCCACCTGATGATCTAGCACGTCCTGAATGGCAAGACATCCGGTGAGATGCGTGTGAGATGCCTGATGTCCATCCATTCCCATGCTTTTTCCCCAGACCTCCTTAACCCTAACCCCCCAAACCCATTCCTTCAGTCCCTGACCATCAGTGTAGACAAACATCTCAGTCAACTCTCCCCCTGCCCCCAAGGAAAAGCAGGTGACAGAACCAGATCTACTGCTTGGAAGTGGCCACTGGATGGACCTCCCGTCCCCGCCATCACTGGAGCCGGTCGAGCCGGGCTGTGATGCCATCAGGCCTTTTCTGGCCCAGCTCAGCGTGATTACAGCAGACTCTATTTTCATTGGTCAGTAGACTGTTTTAGGGAACTAAAACAGTCCCCATAAAACCAGAGGCTTCTCCCATAGCTCAGTTGGTAAGGAATCTACCTGTAACACAGGAGACCCGGGTTTGATTCCAGTCTGGAAGATCCCCTGGAGAAGGAAATGGCAACCCACTCCAGTATTCTTGCCTGGAAAATCGCATGGACAGAGAAGCCTGGAGGGATACAGTCCACGGGGTCGCAAAGAGTTGGACACGATTTAGTGACTAAAGCACCACCACCACCATAAAATCAGAGATGCAGGTCCAGGGCGGGGAGAAGGCACCTCCAGGGAAGCTGCCTGCTCCTGCAGCCTACCTAGGCCTTAGGTGAGCTTGAGGGCAAACTCAGGTTAGTCTGCTGGGGCTGCCGCGCAGACAGGGTCTTAAACAACAGAACTGTGTTTTCTCACAGTGCTGGAGCCTGGAAGCCCAAGGTCAAGAGGCCCGCAGGGTTGGTTTCTGGTGGGGCCTCTCTGGTGAGGGTTAGTGTTGGCTCAGGGTCAGCGTCCAGTGATTCTCCCAAAAGTCAGACTATCTTCCTCTCCCTGGGGCTCAGTGTGGGGATGTGGCTGCAGGTCTTTCCAGAAAGGCTGAGAGGAAGGTTGCTGCTGTGTTTTTTTAACACCCTGGAGCTAGCACAGGATCCTTCCCTGGGAATGCCCAACTTTTCCTTAATTAGGACTCTGGGTCTGCTAGCTGATTCAGGTCTGACCACTCAGTGAGGGCCGTGACTTCTACACAGTGACCCGGGGCTGGCTATGTTCTCTAAGAATCCAGTTTGTTGCTTCAGTTAAACGGATCCACTTGGCCCTTAGTGGGTTTCCCATCGACTTCAGCCCTGGGAACCACGTGTTGTTCACTGCCGCCCGAGGTTCCTGTGGGCCATGTCTCTCTAATGACCACCCAGCTCTTCTGCCGGCCGAGGGAACTGCAGCTCATTCTGCGCTTGGCAGTGAAGAGCTGGCAGGGCCTCTGCGCTGCAAGGTCCAAACTCTCCCCTGGAGTCAGGAAGCCCCTTCCTTACCAACCCGCAGAGAACAGCCCCTACCTGCCCCGCTCCCCCCAGAGTCGGGCGCTTGTCTTACCAATGTCTGCAGGTGGTAAGTCCATCCAACACGCCCGGCTCCTAAAGGAATTGCTCTCATCTCAACTTCATTCCACACTGAGCTTGGATTTTGCTTAAACCAAAGGACCAGACACTGAGACCTACTCAGATTGTTCCAGCTAGCCGAACGAATTCAGAATCTCTGCTTATTCATGAGCAAGCAAATCCATATTGAGAAACTAAGCCCAATTTAGCAAACATATTTTTAAAAGGGCTAGAAGCTGAAAGTCTGCTGAAAAATAGCAGTTGTAGGATAGAGAAGTAGTTTCAACGTATCTGCTAGTAGATACTTAGTAATAACAAAGGGGAAAGCCTGCAGCAGAGAAGCCAGGCAGACACCAAATTAACCCCAAAATGGAAGTTATATCTGCAATGGGACACATTAAAGTCAAGTGCCTGAAAATAGGAGAACTGAGAAAAACACAGTTTCATTTCTGCAGTATGCTTACCCAGATTCACACCTGAAGCTAACTGTGAGCCAACAGCTGACAAACCCAGACTGAGGGACGTTTCTACAAACCAACTGTTGGCCTCTAATTCAAGGTCACGAAAAACAGAGGCTGAGGAACTGTGCCAAATAAAGGAGACTAAGGACTAACAACTGCCACTCAGGATCTGGGGCTTTTTCCCCCAAAACAGCATTTTTAGGAGAGTGAGGAATTGGAAGAGCAAGTAACATTTCCACATGAAAGCCCTGAGTTTGATAGTTACACTGTAGTTATGTGAGAGCCTGTCTTTGTAAGAAAAATACTGAAGTATTGGGGTGGAGGGGTGATGCTTACAAATTACTCTCAGATGGTTCAGAAATAATTTATATATATATGCACATACGCATGTGCATACATGGAGAAAGAGATAAAGCAAACGTGGTAAAATATTAACATTTGGGGAATCTAAGTATACAGCAATTTTTTTTTAATATTAGTGCAATTCTCAGTAAGTCTAAAACTATGTCAAGTTTAAAAGATATATATATATATATGTGTGTGTTTTATATATATACATGGAAAACTGATTCACTTTTCTGTACCCCTGAACTAACACAGCTTTGTAAGTCAACTATACTTCAATAAATTCTTTTAAATAGCATAAATGAAAGTTTCTTTTTAAAGTTATATTGTTCCCACCATGAGCTAATACCCTTAGATTACATTTCCATACATATTCCCTACAATTTTGCCAAAATGTATTAGCAAATTCTGCAATTTCTTTAATGTGCAAACCTAACTCTTCTCAGGTGTGACTTTGTTTTTCAGTGTATTTTATTGAAAGGCAGCTGATTTACAGTATTGTGTTAGTTTCTGGCGTACAGCAGAGTGACTGAGTGATACTGTATATACTGGCTTGATTCTGCTAACCGCAGACTCCCGACCCATCTCTCCCCCACGCCCTCCTTCCCAGGGGACGCTAGTGGTAAAGAATCCACCTGCCAACACAGCAGACATAAGAGATGCGGGTTTGACGCCTGGGTTGGGAAGATCCCCTGGAGAAGGGACTTGGAGAAGAAGTAAGAACTCTGTCCCATGGACAGAGGAGCGTGGCGGGCTACAGGCCACGTGGTCGCACAGAGTCAGACACGACTGAAGGGACGTTTTCCACTGCGTGTGCATTCCACACCTTTATCCTCTCATCTGCTGACGGCCTTGTAGGTTGTCTCTGCGTCCTGGTTATTGTGACTAGCACTGCTGTGAACGAGACGATGCGTGTGTCGTTTTGAACCGCAGTGTTTGTGTGTTGGTTTGTGGCTGGCTGTGACTCTGTCGCTGCGCTGGCCTTTCTCTAGTTGCGGTGAGTGGGGGCTGCTCTCTGGGAGCGGTGTCCAGGTTTGCCACTGCAGTGAGAAAACTGACTCAGAAAAAAATGAAGTTTTTAGAACATTAATGAAAGAAATCTTCCCCCAAATAAAACTCTGAGCGCAGATGGCTTTATTGGCAATTTCCACCTTATGTGAAAGGAACAAAAGAGAAAACCTTATATAAGCTCTTTCAGATAATAGGAGAAAGGCTAACAACCCCTACTCTTTTCATGAGCGTAGCAAAACCTGATAAGAACAGTGAGAGAAATTCCCTGATGGTCCAGCGGTTGGGACTTGGTGCATTCAGAGCTGTAGGTCTGGGTTCAGTGCCTGGCTGGGGACCAAAGACCCCACAAGCTGAGATGTGCATCAAAGCAAAATAAAACGAGAAGAGTGAGAGGAAGGGAAGTCGCGAGTCAGTCTCACATCAGTGACTGAGTGGATGTGAGTGGGGCGATGGGTGCAGGAGAAGCGACCGGATAAAATTCAACATTGATTCGTAATTTTTAAAATCTAAGTAAATTTGGATTTGAAAACAGGTTTTGAAGCTGGTGAGGACTATCTCAAAAAAAAAAAAGGGAAAGAAAAGCCGCCTTGTGGACCATCATAGTGGAGCGACCATCACAATAAAGAATGATGGATGAGAAGTAAGACAGCATGCTCACAGCCATAGTTTCTATTCTACGCTCCCTCCGGGCCTTAGATGCCATAGTCCTGGGTAACGATAGTAGTGCACACAAATTTAAAAAGAAAGAAAAGCCTCTTTCTTTTCTCCACTACCTCGTGTATACTCTGGCTTCTCTTCAGATCGTATAAATCCTTCACCTTTTACAGTATGTCACACAGAGTTAAAAACTCAGCCAGATCAAACGTTGCTTAGGTGTATACGGTGATGAAAAGTGTAAAGAAAGTGAGGAGGTGCTTGCCGCCGGAAGCCGGACCGCGGTTGCCTTGGGGGGAGGGGCCTGCAGAGGGCTTGCGGGAGGTGTGTTCTCTTCCGGACTGGAGTCGTGACCTCATGCGTGTTTATTTTATAATTATTTAAGTTTTTTACACATACGACCTATAGATTTACCCATTTTGCATGAAATATCCTGGTTTTTGAAAATGCCAGTGGAAAATCAGGGATCTCCCACACGAGCAAATAATCACCACAGTGGAGGGAAGCATACCCGTCTCCCTCACTTTTCCGACACCGAACTGAGTCCAGACAGGGGTGTGCCCTGCCTTGAGCGGAACCCCTGTGCCTTCCTGAGTCCCAGCCCAGAGTCTTTTCAACGCAGGAAGTACTGATGTGTTATTGTGAAGAATTCTCTGGCTGAAACCCATTAGTTCAAACGCCAGCATCTTTAGATGGAGGACCACGCCGTTGGAGCGGCATCTGGCGTCAGAGATCCCCCCACCTCCTGTGGGTCCTGGCGGGGCTGTGGGAGTGGGGCTCTGAGCCGAAAACTGCTGGAGCACTTCGTCCCCGCAGGCCCCGCCTGCTGGCCTGGGCTTCGACAGCTGGCCCGGGCGGCCGCGGCTGGGTGGGTGGGAAGCTTTCAGGTGTGTTCTGACAGAAAAGCTAACGTGCTGGCCGCGCGCTCTCCAGCAAGACGGCTAGTGGCTGAGTCCACGCACCCAGGACGTGTTCCCCGGCCCACCCTCCGTGGTTCTGTGCTCTGTCCGGCGTCTGCGCACATGGGGGCTCTTCCAGATGGCAGGAGGTCGGGCACTGCAGACCCTGGATGCCCGCCACCCCGGGACCGCTCCCCACAGGGCTGGGGCAACACCTGTGAGCTCGGCTGGCCACTCAGATGGAGAGCAGAGAGCGTTTCCAGAAGGAACCCAGGAGGGGCAAGGACAGCGGGGACCGTCCTCCGGGATGACTTGGAAGGCTGCGTGCTCACCCCGTCTGCTCCAACGGCACACTTGGGCGGCTCTGGGCGGTCCGTTTTTCAGCGTAACTCATTGAAGGTGACACAGACTCAGTGAGTCAGCCCCTTGGGCCCCCCACAGCATCACACACACGAGACCCCCTTTCTGAGCGAAAAACACCGGGCTGTCTGGTTGTTCCGACGCTCGGCAGGTGCCCGTGGAGGATGGACAAGGTACCAGATGCCAGTCCAGCCTCTGTCCTCAAGGAGTTCATGTTCCAGGGGGAGGAACAGGGAGACGTTAAGTCATCAGCTGGTAAGGCTTTGGAGAGAGGTTTACGCAGGTAAAGCAGGTGAGGGAACCCAGCGATGGCGGCAGGGGGCAGGGGGGTGTTCCTGTTTCACTAAGGAGGTCAGCCGGCCTGACGAGGCCACATTTGAGTGAGCAGGAAGAAAGAAGGAGCCGGGCAGGGCTCTGGGGGGAGAGCATCCCAACAGTGGCAGCCAGAGCGGACAGCTGAGCCTGGGCCGCCACCGTGCGCTGGGACGGCTGCTGTCACCCGAGCCGACCCGCGTGAGCACCACCGACGTGCCACTGAGCCTGCTGAGAGCTTGCAGTCAGAGACTGAACAGCCCGGGGCGCCCCGGATGCCCGCCAGGGCTGGGACCAGGTGGGCAGCAGCCTCACGGGTGTGAGCCCCGGGCATAGCTGCCACTTGGGGCTTCCGCTTCCTCACCCGGACGTGGACCTGCCCGTCTGCCGTCTGCCGTCTGCCCTCTGCGGGCCCCAGGCCACCAGCAGTGCACCTGCCCTCCCCACCCAGCACCTGCGTGCCCATCGCTCAGCCTTTAGCCTGCTTGACCTGTCACCGCAACCCTTCCCCCTCTGCACCGTCCGTCCGTCCATCCCGGGCTGGACGCTCGGGGCTGAGCCATGCAGACCTCAAACCCGGCCAGGCCCACTCCCAGGTCCTCCCAGCCAGTCTTCCCACGGTCTTTCCCGCAGCAGTAAACTCCCCTTGCTGTGCAGACTGCAAGCCTGTGGTCCTGGGAAATTCCCCTCTTTTCTCGCCCCCGTCTAATCCATCAAGGAATCCCATTGGTTCTGTCTTAGCAGCACTGTGCCTTCAGGTCTGACAGTTTCTACCTTCCCACCCAGCCCAGGGCCAGGCCGCGATCCTGGATTCTTGCCGCCCCCTGAGGAGTGGTCGGCTCCCACCCTTGCCCCTGAAGTGTGTTCACGCCCCACCTCGGCCCAGTGGCTCCCTCTGGCCTCCGAAGCCCCCCTCCCACCCGTTCGGTCTCTACCCGCTTCTGCCCAGCGCGCCCAGGCAGCTCCCTGGGGCCTCTGCGCCAGCTGTCCCTCTCCCCGACAGCGGCTAGCTGACTCCCTCCCTTGCTTCCTTCAAACCTCTCTGAGCCCCAGCCGTGTCCTTACTGCATCTGTCTGTTAGACAGTTTAGCCCCTGAGACGTGGTGTGTTCATCTGACCGTGTGTCTTTATGTGTCTCCCCACGAGGGCACAGGCTGTCTTGGTCCTGCTCATGCCGTGTCCCCAGACCTAGGACAGTGGCCACCACGAAGCAGGACAGACCCGTGCGAGGCCCAGCACAAACGCTGGCCACGCTTTCTCCGCATCCTCTCCAGCCCGTCTTGGCCCTTTAGCTCTGTGTGCATCTTCTACAAATGCAGATCTGATCACACCCATGCCCCAGGGCAGGCACTATAAGCCTCTCCCGGACATCTTATTATGAAAATTTCCAAACACACAGGCAAGTTGAAAGGAGCGTCTGTGAGCCTGCACACTCACCGTCTGGAATCACCTTCCCAGAGAGCGTCCTCCGACACCGTTCACCATGGACTAGCTCAGCCTGGAGCATCACATAGACGATCTTTTATGTAAGGCTTCTAAAGGGCTGCACGGATCAACAGTGTGTTCGTAACTAACGCTTGTGTGAATTCACCGCCGTTTGTTTCTCGTCTCCTGTGGAGGGCCAGCTGGGCTCCCCCGACCTGCAGGCCTGTTATGAATAAACCCGCAGTCAACATCCTTGCACCAGCTCCCTGTCCGGGCGCTTGCCGGATTCTGCGTCTTGGGCAGCAGGCGGCGTGCGTGAGCTAGGAGCCGGAAACCCGACTCTCCCCGAGAGGAGGAAGCGGCGTTGGTACCACCCTCCCTCCGAGGGGATCGCAGGGGGACGTCAAACTCTAGCCCGTCAGACCTCAGTCATCGGAAGCCAGTTGCCATCGGATGCCCCACGCGTGGAGGGGTCCTCACGGTCCAGGGCGGGAGCCTGCCCGGGAGGATCGGACCAGGGGAAGAGAAGCCGCGGCGCCTCCCCAGGACCTGGCGGGGACGTGCCCACGGCGTCGGCACGCCAGGCCGGGGGACGGGCATCCTCCCCGCGTGCTCTGTGGCGGTGGGGGGCGGGGAGGGGGTCCTCAGGGAGTCCCCACGGGGCCCCCGGTGCTCCCGTGACCTTTGCATTTCCGGGTGAATGCCTGTCTCTCCTGAGGCGCGTCCTGGGCTAGAAGCCCCTGGAGAAGCTCCATCTGGACGAGAGAAGTTAGGCTTGAAGGGGCGTGAACCAGAAAGACTGTTTTATAGAAACTATTTATTTGTTTGTTGCTGGCTGCCCTGGGTCCTCATGGCTGTGCTCGGGGAAACACGCTGACTGAAACCGCCCACCATGGCTGAGCACCACAGTGACTATTTGCATGAGTGATTTTATGATGGGAGGTCCTGGTAAGGAACACGGAACTAACAAGTCACCAAAACTGGGAGAGCTTGGCGAAGGTCACAAGCAGACGCGACGAGTCCGACCACCTCCCAGAACCCTCCTCACTGGCGTCCACCTTGGCTGAGCAGCGCGTGCACCACCAGGAAGGACTCGGAGTCAGAATGACTGGCCAGGGACAACCCGGACACTAATCCCATCACCATAAACCCCGGGACTGCGAGCCGCGTGGCAGAGCGGTCCTCCTGGCGCCCCGACCACACTCCTCTCCGCCTGGCGCCCCTTCCCAAGAAGTCTCCTGCTTTGTCAGCGTGTGTGTCTCCTCAGACAACTCATTTCTGAGTGTTAGGCAAGAGCCCACTCTCAGGCCCTGGAAGGGGTCTCCCTCCCAGTAACTGCAGGATGCGGCTTTTCTGTAGCTGTGGTGAGGAGGGGCCACTCTCTAGCTTCAACAGTACGTGAACTGGGAACTTCCAGGTGGTGAACTTGAATCCAGTTCAAGCTGGATTTAGGAAAGGCAGAGGAACCAGAGATCAAATTGCCAACATCCACTGGATCAGAGCAAAGAGCAAGGAAATTCCAGAAAAAACATCTTCTGCTTCATTGACTATGTGAAAACCTTTGCCTTTGTGGATCACGACAAACTGTGGAAAATTCTGAAAGAGATGGGAATGCTAGACCACCTTATCTGCCTCCTGAGAAATCTGTATGCAGGTCAAGAAGCAACAGTTAGAACTGGACATGGAACAACAGACTGGTTTCAAATTGGGAGAGGAGTACATCAAGGCTGTATATTGTCACCCTGCTTATTTAACTTATGTGCAAAGTACATCATGAGAAATGCTGGGCTGGATGAAGCACAAGCTGGAATCAAGATTGCCGGGAGAAACATCAATAAAGTCACATATGAAGATGACACCACCCTTATGGCAGAAAGTGAAGAGGAACTAAAGAGCCTCTTGATGAAGATGAAAGAGGAGGGTGAAAAAGTTGGCTTAAAATTCAACATTCAGAAAACTAAGATCTTGGCATCCAGTCCCATCACTTTGTTGACTAAAATTTATACACAACTTGAGAGTTGCAAGTTAAACTTTCTTTGGGGCACAGTGGGACTGCAGCCTGGGACGCAGCACCTCGGATAGCTCTGAGAGACTGTTCCAAAGAGGCAGTGGGAGGAAGGTCCGTATGTAAGGTTTTGGTGAAGGTGGAGTTCCATGCTATTAAGCACCCATTTTACAAAAGGTTTTCTGCTGGTCCCAAGGATCTGATGTCACCATGAAGGGGGTTAGTGCTTTTCTAGGCATGAGGAGGTGGTTCCAAATTGGGAAATGTACGTTGAGGCTGTATATTGGCACCCTGCTTGCTTAACTTATATGCAGAGTACATCATGCGAAATGCTGTGTTGGACAAAGCACAAGCTGGATTCAAGATTGCCAGGGGAAATATCAATAACCTCAGATACGCAGATGACACCACTCTTATGGCAGAAAGTGAAGAACTAAAGAGCCTCTTGATGAAGGCGAAAGAGGAGAGTGAAAAGCTGGCTTAAATCTCAACATTCAGAAAACTAAAATCATGGCATTCAGTCCCATCACTTCATGGCAAATAGATGGGGAAACAGTTGAAACAGGGACAAATTTAGTTTTTTTGAGCTCCAAAATCACTGCAGATGGTGACTGCAGCCATGAAATAAAAAGACGCTCACTGCTTAGAAGAAAAGCTATGACCAACCTAGACAGCATATTAAAAAGCAGAGACATTACTTGGCTGACGAAGGTCCGTCTAGTCAAAGCTGTGGTTTTTCCAGTGGTCATGTATGGATGTGAGAGTTAGACATAAAGAAGTCTGAGCACTGAAGAACTGATGCTTTTGAACTGTGGTGTTGGAGAAGACTCTTGAGTCCCTTGATCCTAACAAAGGATTGGGATCGTGAAATCAGTTCCTGGAAATATTTAGTTCTCTGAAGACCTGTTCCACCAGACCCCCTGGGACACAGAGGGCCTCCCTCCACCCTGCCCTCCGTCAGGGGCGCTGGGGCTTGGCAGCTGCGGCAGCACAGCGCTCAGTCTCTGCAGAGGCAGATGCGAATGCCCTTGTTGCCCGGTCATTGGCAATGTTCTTGGCAAGTGCCAATTTTGGCAAACAGATGGCTGGAAACAGTAGCTGATTTTATTTTCTTGGGCTCCAAAATCACTGCAAACGCTGACTGCAGGCTATGACAAACCAGAGACATCACTTTGTTGACAAAGGTCCATCTAGTCAGGGCTTCCCTCATAGCTCAGTTGGTAAAGAAACTGCCTGCACTGTAGGAGACCCCGGCTCCATCCCTGGTCAGGAAGATCCCCTGGAAAAGGAAATAGCAACGCACTCCGGTATCCTTGCTTGGAGAATCCCATGGTCAGAGGAACCTGGTGGGCTGTAGTCTATGGAGTGGCAAAGAGTTGGGCATGACTGAGTGACTGACACACCATCTGGTCAAGGCTATGGTTTCTCCAGTGGTCATGTATGGATGTGAGAGTTAGACCATAAAGAAGGCTGAGCGCCAAAGAATGGATGCTTTTGAGCTGTGGTGTTGGAGAGGACTCTTGAGAGTCCCTTGGACTGCAAGGAAATCCAGCCAGTCCATCCTAAAGGAAATCAGTCTTGAATACTCATTGGAAGGACTGATGCTGAAGCTGAAACTCCAATACTTTGGCCACCTGATGAGAAGAACTGACTCATTGGAAAAGACCCTGATGCTGGGAAAGACTGAAGGCGGGAGGAGAAGGGGACGACAGAGGATGAGATGGTTGGGTGGCATCACCGACTCGATGGACATGTATCGAGTAAACTCCGGGAGTTGGAGATGGACAGGGAGGCCTGGTGTGCTGGCCCATGGGGTTGCAAAGAGTCAGACACGACTGAGTGACTGAACTGAACTGAACTGATGTCTTTGGGGCAAACCTGGCAACTTGTCCCAGAGGTCACCAGTGAGGGTCCAGGGTCAAAGGAAGTTGGGTTGGGGCAGCCTGGGAGTCCACTCCACTCCCTATGGGCAGATGGCACATCTGGGGTGAAATGGGAAAGTTCCAGGCCGCCGGGGTGCTGGAGCGATTCTGCTGGTTGCCCAAGTCCGGCGCTTGGTGGTGGCTTCCGCTCCCCACCTCGGGCGGAGGGCTGTGAATCGTGCCGGAGCTCGGGCCGGCTGTGGGCCGGCTGTGGCCCCGGCCCGCCCTCCTCCTCCCGCAGGTGCCTGGCCGTGGCTTAGGTCTCTCACTCTCTTCCGGGTCCTGGCCTCTCATCCACACGGCCGCTGCCGCGCACATCCCGCCTGGACCAGTCGTGTCCAGAGGCTGTGACCTGTGCCTCCTGCTGCCTCCCGGTGGTCCCCAAGCGCGCCCAGCCTACACCTGCCCGTGTGCGCTGAGCCTCCTGCAGCACCAGCCCTCCGCCCGCCCACCTCCTGCCCACCCGGCTCCTGACTTGGCACATAGCATCCCCCACCCGACCCGGGCACCGAGTCAGCCCTGTCCTCTGCGCCTCGGGCTTGATGTCCGCAGCTGAGCAGGGTCATCATGGCCTTCCCTGCACAGCCCTGCCGGGCCCCTCGGGGTGCCCCAGAGAGAGCCCCAGTCTCCCCCACTCCCCCGGGGGCAGGGAGCCGGCTGGGCTGAGGACGAGGGCTCTGGAGCCATGTCTCCAAGCTCGGGCTGAGGGCTCTGCCCCGAGGGTGCGCCCAGGGGCTCCCGTGGCGGGGCTGGGCCCTGCCTGCTGCTCCGAGACTGTCCAGCTCTGGCCCCTGGTCTGAATGAGTGGCTGCACTGCCCCGGGCCGTGGTCCTCAGGCCTCTCTGACTGGCCCCCTTGGCTGCACTGCTACCCACACAGGCCCTGTCTTTTAGGGATGACAGAGTGGTAAGACCAGGCCTTGGAGCAGGAAGGCCTGTTCTCAAACTCCGGCTCATTCATAGGCCTCTCTGGGCCTCAGTCTCCTTGCAACCCTGTGGCCCCCTCGGCCAGTGGCCAGCGAAGGGCATTACCCCGCAGACCTCTGCCTTCAAGGTAAGTCTAAGCATTTTTCATGCGCACGACCGACGGCCTGACCCTGGGGCTGCTCCCAGCCTAGCCTTTCGGGCATTTGAGAGCCATCAGTCCAGCCCCTCACGGGTCCGCCCGACACGCAGCCTCTCCCCTTGGGCCCCTGGCATGCTGCGGGCGCGGGAGGGTTTGGGGCTGAGCTCCTGTTGAGGCCACCTGCTGGGCCTGCGGGCGGGGGGTGTGTGTCTGTGTGCGTGCGTGCGCGCGCGCGTGCGTGCGCCCCCGCCCCGTGCTCAGGAGCGGCTGCGCCAGTGCTTCAGAAGAGAGGCGGACAGACAGCCCCGCCCGCCCCGGGGCCTCAGCCCAGGCTTGGCAGGGACGCGGCTCCGCTCTGGGAGCCCTCTCCTGTGGCGAATGTTTCACACCAGGGCAGGCGGGGATCCTAATTGAGGCGCAGCCTCTCCTTGGAAAGGATCCCATTCCTCAAGCGCCTGGACGAGAGCTGGGACACGCTGGACCCCGTGAGCGCACGCTGTTTACAGCTCCTAGTGTTGCATCACACCGGCCGTTCCTAAAACCAGCCTGGCACGATGCGTGGACATTGCTGGGACTGCGTGGAAAAGCCCAGGTTTTCCTGGAAGAGGATGGGAACCAGGATAGCACAATCAGAGCCCAGGTCTGAGCCCCAGGGCGGCCTCTCCGTGAGGACGCCTGGCAGGGACCCAAGCAGGCGAAGGATAAGCCCTCCCCACAGGCTCTGGCCCCCACGGTCAGGGTCACGCGTGTCCATCTGGCCTCCTCCCCTCTGGCAGCGCCCAGGGCCCTCGGGGACCAGTGACTTGTGCATCCTTTCCTGGGGCAGCTCCTCCCTGCTCTGGGGAAGCGACACCTGAGGCTTTTTCATCATTTCCAGGTTCCACAGAATGTCCTCCACTGGCCTTGGCCAGTTCAGTTCAGTTCAGTCGCTCATTCACGTCCAACTCTTTGCGACCCCATGGACGGCAGCATGCCAGGCCTCCCTGTCCATCACTAACTCCTGGAGCTTGCTCGAACTCATGTCCATCAAGTCAGTAATGCCATCCAACCATCTCATCCTCTGTCATCTCCTTCTCCTCCCACCTTCAATCTTTCCCAGCATCAGGGTCTTTTCCAGTGAGTCAGTTCTTCTCATCAGGTGGCCAAAGTGTTGGAGTTTCAGCTTCAGCATCAGTCCTTCCAGTGAATATTCAGGACTGACTTCCTTTAGGACTGACTGGTTTGACCTCCCTGCAGTCCAAGGGACTCTCAAGAGTCTTCTCCAACACCACAGTTCAAAAGCATCAACTCTTCTGCTCAGCTTTCTTTATGGTCCAGCTCTCACATCTATACATGACTTCTGGAAAAACCATAGCTTTGAGTAGATGTACCTTTGTCAGCAAAGTAATGTCTCTGCTTTTTAATATGCTATCTAGGTCCATCATAGCTTTTCTTCCAAGGAGCAAGCATCGTTTAATTTCATGGCTGCAGTCACCATCTGCGGTAATTTTGGAGCCCAAGAAAAGAAAGTCTGTTACTGTTTCCATTGTTTCCCCATCTATTTGCCATGAAGTGATGAGACTGGATGCCATTGTCTTAGTTTTTTGAACGTTGAGTTTTAAGCCAGCTTTTTCACTCTCCTCTTTCAATTTCTTCAAGAGGCTCTTTAGTTCCTCTTCACTTTCTGCCATAAGGGTGGTGTCTTCTGCATGTCTGAGGTTGTTGATTTTTATTTAGGTTTTCTCTTTAAGTCTTTTTTAAAATAATAAAGTATCTATTTCTGATTCCATAAACTTTAGACAGCACCTTCTGGTGTCCACTCCCTTAGAAGGGAAAACAGAGCCTCGACACTTCCCGTTGCCCTTCTCCCAGCCCCCTAGTCTGCCACACGTGTCAGGGCGCCTGGCTGGGGAGGCCTGCCCTGCCCACCTCCTCCTCTCCCCTGCGCCGAGGCCAGCTTGAGAAGGGCTTTTGTTAACATCCTGTTCTCAAGCTGGGATGCAGTTGAGTACATGTGAAGACTTATCAAGGAGGGAGAGGCAGATAGTTTGAAGGAAATAAATTTCTTTCCAAAAATTGATCTGCCTTTGAATGGTTTCTACCCACCCCCTTTGACCATCATCTCTTCCCACTTCAGTCCATTAGATGCTGTGGGGTTTTGCCCTGAGCTGTGCAAACTTTCAGGAGCTCCTGATTTGAAATGTGTTCCTTTATGCTGACAATGCGAATGTTTGCAGGAACTGATGACTCCTTCAGCAAGTCAGAGAAATTCTAATTCTTTAAGTTTCAACAGACTTGAAGAGAGCTCAATTTGTCTCCAGTTTAGCATAGTTTTTTGATGAAAGATCAACATATGACCTTTGGCATATAACTCACAGGGTTCAGAGAATTGACCGTCAGGACTATTAACACACACACAAGCCCACAGTGCTTTCTGTTCTCATTTGTTTATTTATGTGACCAAGGCTTCTCAGGACAAACTGATTCCAAATAGGGAAAGGAGTATCTCAAGGCTGTATATTGTCACCCTGCTTGTTTAACTTATATGCAGAGTACATCATGAGAAATACTGGGCTGGAGGAAGCACAAACTGGAATCAAGATGGCCAGGAGAAATATCAATAAACTCAGATATGCAGATGACAGCACCCTTATGGCAGAAAGTGAAGAGCTAAAGAGCCTCTTGATGAAAGTGAAAGAGGAGAGTGAAAAAGCTGGCTTAAAGTTCAACATTCAGAAAACTAAGATCATGGCATCTGGTCTCACCACTTCACAGCAAATAGATGGGGAAACAGTGGAAACAGTGACAGACTTTATTTTTTTGGGCTCCAAAATCACCGCAGATGGTGATTGCAGCCATGAAATTAAAAGATGTTTCTTCCTTGGAAGCAAAGTTATGACCAACTTAGACAACACATTAAAAAGCAGAGAGGTTACTTTGTCAACAAAGGTCTGTCTAGTCAAAGCTGTGGTTTTTCCATAGTCATGTATGGATGGATGTGAGAGTTGGAATATAAAGAAAGCTGACTGCTGAAGAACTGATGCTTTTGAACTGTGGTGTTGAAGATTCTTGAGAGTCCCTTGGATAGCAAGGAGATCCAACCAGTCCATCCTAAAGGAGATCAGTCCTGAATACTCACTGGAAGGACTGATGCTGAAGCTGAAACTCCAATACTTTGGCCACCTGATGAGAAGAACTGACTCACTGGAAAAGACCCTGATGCTGGGAAAGACTGAAGGCAGGAGGAGAAGGGGATGACAGAGGATGAGATGGTTGGATGGCATAAGTGACTCAATGGACGTAAGTTTGAGTAAGCCCCGGGACCTGGTGATGGACAGGGAGGCCTCGTGTGCTCCAGTCCATGGGGTTGCAAAGAGTTGGACACGACTGAGTGACTGGACTGAACTGACAAAAGTTTGATTAAAAATACAGTATGTCAGAAATAACACCCTTGACAAGCATTTACATTTATGATGCAAAACTTAAGATGTCTACTTGAAGTATGGAAGGAAGAATTTTTCAAAGTTTTTCACGGACTATAGGAGCAAAACGTTTGATGAGCACTGCCTCAAAAGCCAGACTGCTTTTTCAGGGCAGGGAAGTGAGAGCAGGACAGGGAAAACATCTTCAGTCACTGAGTTTGCTTTTCCATTTCCCCACTTCTGTTTTTCTTGAACCACCAACTCTGACTTGGGGCTCCTTGGGCTTCCCCAGGGCAGACTGGGCTGTGCTGTGCTCAGGCAATTCAGTTGTGTCCGACTCTTTGTGACCCCATGGACTGTAACCCGCCAGGCTCCTCTGTCCATGGGATTCTCCAGGCAAAAATACTGGAGTGGGTTGCCATGCCCTCCTCCGGGGGATCTTCCAGACCCAGGGATGGAACCCACCTCTCTTAAGCCTGGAATGGCAGGCAGGTTCACCGCCACCCGGGAAACTACCCCACCCCTAAGTTTAGCCTTTGGAAAGGCAGGTTACTTTACAGGGATGCTGTTAATCTCTAGGCCTCAGGCCTCTCCCTCCCCCTCTCATGGCAGCCTCCGCGTGACTGAACTTGGTGCGAGTTGTGGAGGGCTCCACATGGGGAGGGAGAATCAGGTGCAACCAACATTTTCATTTGAACACTTCCAGGTAATTGCCTCTAAAGACTTCAGAGAACTTAGAAAATCTGTAGATTTCAGCGAGCTTATCAGGTTGCAACAATACACACAAATCCAGTTTATTTCTATATCAGAGGCTTCCCTGGTGGCTCAGTCAGTGAAGAACTGACCTGCAATGTGGGAGACCTGGGTTCGATCCCTGGGTCGGGAAGATCCCCTGGAGGAGGGCATGGCAACCCACTTTGCCAGTACTCTTGCCTGGAGAATTCCATGGACAGAGGAGCCTGGCGGGCTGCAGTCCATGGGGTCACAGAGTCGGACATGACTGTGGGACCAAGCACGTATCAGTAAGCAACCAAACGGAATAGAACAATGGTGATCACAACATTATAAAAACATGGCTAGGGGTACAGCCAAAGAATGCTCAAACTACCGCATAACTGCACTCATCTCACACGGCAGTAAAGTGATGCTTAAAATTCTCCAAGCCAGGCTTCACCAATACATGAACCTTGAACTTCCAGATGTTCAAGCTGGTTTTAGAAAAGGCAGAGGAACCAGAGATCAAATTGCCAACATTCGCTGGATCATCAAAAAATCAAGAGAGTTCCAGAAAAACATCTATTTCTGTTTTATTGACTATGCCAAAGCCTTTGACTGTGTGGATCACAATAAACTGTGGAAAATTCTTCAAGAGATGGGAATACCAGACTACCTGACCTGCCTCTTGAGAAATCTGTATGCAGGTCAGGAAGCAACAGTTAGAACTGGACATGGAACAACAGACTGGTTCCAAATAGGAAAAGGAGTACGTCAGGCTGGATATTGTCACCCTGCTTATTTAACTTATATGCAGAGTACATCATGAGAAACGCTGGGCTGGATGAAGCACAAGCTGGAATCAAGACTGCCAGGAGAAATATCAATAACCTCAGATATGCTGATGACACCACCCTTATGGCAGAAAGTGAAGAAGAACTAAAGAGCCTCTTGATGAAAATGAAAGAGGAGTGAAAACGTTGGCTTAAAGCTCAACATTCAGAAAACTAAGATCATGGCATCTGGTCCCATCACTTCATGGCAAATAGATAGGGAAACAGTGGCTGACTTCATTTTTCTGGCTCCAAAATCACTGCAGATGGTGATTGCAGCCATGAAACTAAAAGACGCTTGCTCCTTGGAAGAAAAGTTATGACCAACCTGGATAGCATATTAAAAAGCAGAGGCATTACTTTGTCAACAAAGGTCCGTCTAGTCAAAGTTACGGTTTTTCCAGTAGTCATATATGGATGTGAGAGTTGGACTATAAAGAAATCTGAGTGCAGAAGAGCTGATGCTTTTGAATTGCGGTGTTGGAGGACACTCTTGAGATTCCCTTGGACTGCAAGGAGATCCAACCAGTCCATCCTAAAGGAGATCAGTCCTGGGTGTTTATTGGAAGGACTGATGTTGAAGCTGAAACTCCAATACTTTGGCCACCTGACGGGAAGAGCTGACTCATTGGAAAAGACCCTGATGCTGAGAAAGATTGAGGGCAGGAGGAGAAGGGGATAACAGAGGATGAGATGGTTGGATGGCATCACCGACTCGATGGACACGGGTTTGGGTGGACTCCGGGAGTTGGTGATGGACAGGGAAGCCTGGCGTGCTGGGGTTCATGGGGTCACAAAGAGTTGGACACGAGTGAGGAACTGAACTGAACTGAGGGATACATCTGAAAAAAGATGAGCAAGCCCTGCAAACTGAAGAAGGCTCGAGTGAGGAAACAGAAGGTACTCAGGGACTGAGAGGTTCCACAGGAGCAGCTTTCGAGGGCAGGCAGCTCCCTGGGGCGGAGGACCCGGCCCTGGGAGGGGCGCTGCGGGGGAGGTGGGGGAAGCCGGAGGTCCGGGGGGCGCCTTTTTAATTTGTCCTCTGCCGGGTGCTGCTTGCTGCCACCCAGGCCGTCCCCTCTTGCAGAGCGCAGCGTTGGGACAGGGTTTGGTGAATGCACGGTGAGCTGGTAGGATCGAGGGTCCAGGAGAAAGAAGGCCGGAGCTTCTCCATCCGGACAGAGAGCCGGGAAGACCAAGGGTCCTTAGGAGCAGCATCGTCCAGAAAGGAGACCCCAAGAGAAAGCGAGGGCCCACGTTTGCACAGACCCAGGGCGGGCCCTCGGAGGCGGGGCTGGGGGCTGTGATTGGTCACGTCTGGCTTCCTCTGGCCGGTCCTGAGGGGGCGGCGGGGGCAGGGACTGGGGGCTGTCGGTCGTCCATCAAGTTCCCGCCGCCCGTCACTGGGGCCGAGGGGTGTCCGCCGCAGAGACCGTCCTACTGGCAGCCGGCCTAACGGACGGCGGGTGGTCACCACAGCTGAGGGCCGGGCCTTCCTGGCCCGGGGCGCTGGCCACAGCTACCGGCCTGGATCCACGGGCAGGTTTACAGTCAGCCTGCCGGCCCCTCCGCGGCAACCAGGCCTCAGGCTGCATCGCTGGGCCGAGCCGTCCCGCCAGGCCCCGCCCGCCGGCCGCCTCAGTTTCCAGGCCGCTTCCGCACGTCCCGCGCGTACCTGCCGGACTCCCGCGCTGGACCCCGCCTTCGCACGCGCGGCCCCCTCCCCCCGCGCCTCGGTTGCGCACGCGCGGCCCGCCCCTCAGGCGCCCCCGCCCCGCCCTGCCCCCGTCTTGCGCACGCGCGATCCGCTCCTCAGAGCCCCTGTACCGCCCCGCCCCCGCCTCGCGCACGCGTCGCACGCGCCGCACGCGCCCCGCGCCTCGCGCACGCGCAGGCCCCGCCCCTCGGCCAATGGGCGGCGCCGCCGCTTATCTGCTGTGCGTCGGCCGTCGGCGTCAGTCAGTCGGGGCCGCGGGCCGACGGTGCTTCGTCCGCTACCCGCGGTGCTCCGGCCCCTGCGCTCCCTTGGCTCGCCCGCAGACCCCGACCCGCCAGCCGCGGCGCCCTCGCCCCGCCACCATGTCGCAGAGAGAGAGCCCCGGGCTGCAGGAGGAGAGCCTGCACGGTAAGCGGGGGCCGGGCCCGGGCCGGGGGCGTGCGGCGAGGGGGCGGCCTGCGGAGAGGACCCCCGGGCGGCCGGGGCGCAGGTCTCCGCGTTGGGGCGGCCGGAGCCCGCGGGTGCCTCGTCTTCCGAGGCGCAGCCGGGTGCTGGTGCCGGTACCGGCCCGGGGAGACTGGGAGGACACGGTCTGGGACTCGGGGCAGGGCTGCCTGAGGGGAAGCGGTGGGGGTCCCTGCGGCCGCGCCCTTCACGATCTCTCGTGCGGGGTCGCGGGTTGGCCTGCCGGGGGACACGGGGCAGCTGGCCGAGCTGCCGCCCCGCGAGCGGACACCCGCCCCCGAAACCGGACGGGGGCGGCCTGGACCCCCGCTCCGGCCGCGGCTGGAGGTGGGGCCGAGCGCCGACCTTTATTCTCTGAAGCAAGAGTTCAGTGGGCCGCGGGAGCGCGTAAATAATGTTTGGAGAGGACCGTGGACACCGTAGAGAATTTTAAAGGTTCATTAAGATTTAAAAATCTTCACACTGACTGAATTTGAGCCACTAATTTTCTTTATTTGTTAAAACAGCGTTTTTACTCGGCAAGGCTTGGCCAAATTTGTCGTATATTGTGAAACCGCAATCACAGCCTAAAAGTCCTATAATCTTTTCTTAAATTTCGACATGGGCTATTTTCTTTGAGACAGATTAAGGGACTGAATCTTTGCCTGAAAAAAGACCTAAAGAGCGTTTGATGAACCGCCTTTAAGTCAGTCCTGTTAGTAGACAGCTCTGCCCCTACCGAGGTGTGTTCCCTTGGTGGTCACGTCGGTCCGAAGAGTCCGCAGTGTCCAGAGCGGCTTCATCGCCAGTCCTTGGTTGGCAGACTCAACTGCTGAGTCATTGGCAACGCAGAGTGCCAGCTCACGGGTTAAAAGGTTTGCTCCGCTGTTTTGTGTACTCTATAAAAAGACGGTTACACGGTGAGTGGAAGCCTTCGAGGAGTCTTGGGCCGCGGTCTGGGGGTACGTGCAGCCCGGCACTCGCGCCTCTGGCCAGTGTGGGAGGGGTCACGTGGGCAGGCCGCCCTGGGAAACCAGATCCGGGAGGGATTGGTGGCTGGGCCGACACTTGTCCTGGGCTCGGTTTTGATTTGATTACCTCTTGTTTACCTCGGAAAGAACTGGGCGCAGTTGGTGGCTGAGCCGGAAGACAAAGGCTAAGGCGCTCCCCTCTGCTTGCCTCCTCTGGCCGGATGCTTTCCCTGAGTCTTGCTGCCTCTGCTCCTGGTCCGTTCTAGTTAAAGCTGTTGAAGGGCAGCATGATGTCCTGGGCGCCTTTCCTGTCTCAGATAAACAACCCCTAACGTGCAGGGGGGAAGGTGAAGTTTTGTAGTATTATCTTGCAGCATCGTGGGAGGGGGTGCGAGACTTAACTTCCCAGAGGTGTGCGCCCCCCCGCCTGCTCTGCTGAGTGGGGATCAGTGCCATCAGGTGGCACTGGCTTACCCTGAGATGGCCCCCACCTCTTCACCTGCTGGTCTGTCTGCAGCCAGTCAGAGGGTTGTGTTGCCATAGGCCCCCACCGTGGACGAAGGTGCGGTGTATGAAGAGGCACAGAACGTGCAGGTTTCATGTCCTGCCCTTTGAGAGGGAAGGGGTTTCCGGCATCGGGATCCTGGCCCGCCCTGTGCTTTTCAGCTGGCCGCAGTGAGGCCGAGAGGGGAGGCAAGGCACACGGCAGGCAGGTGACAGCAGCTGGGGCTCTTAGGGCTCCCCACTGAGTCCTGGGCTCGGGCTTCGGTGACAGAAGGCCTCAGACAGGCAGACGGAAGGGGGGTCCCCAGGTCCTGTTCAGATACGGGAACCTCAGTGACCCACCTGCCTCACTTTATGTTTGAAATCACTTGTTGATCAAGCCTCTTGTTCTGTCCCACCTCACTCAATAAGCTTTTAGAAACGGGGACTTCTTAAGGCCCACCTCTGGGGAGGAAGCCTTCTGACGGGGGTGGGCCTTGCCTCCAGGCATAGCACCTGCGCTGCCCCAGGGCTGTGCTCAGGATTCCACCTGTCCCAAAGATCCCAGGACATTGGCCCCGGCGTCTTGTAGGTCATTCCCCTGTAGTTTTTAACCTTGGCTGCCCACCGTCACCATTGTGGTTTTTTCAGAGTAAAGGTACCAGGGTTCTGTTGTAGCATTCCAAATCAGGATTTGTCGCTGGTGGGTGAGACTGCTGGAGAACAGGGAAGGCACCAAAGGGGATCCTCCATAGCCAGGTTGCAACCTGTTGTCCCCGACTGGGGTGTGGGGTGCTCTGCCGGGGGTGCTGGGGAGGGATGTTGGCCTGGGGCCAGGAGTGGCGAGTCTCACAATGCAGGCAGGGACTGTGAGAAACCCTGTGCAAAATACTCAGGATGGAAAGTGTGGGTGCTATGTTGAGGTTATTTGATAGGGTAAGGCTCCACAGGTTAAGAAAGACAATTGTCATTATCTGTTTTCAGGCTAGGGTAAACTGGAAGCTTTAGTCAACCACCCAGCTTACCGAGCAGTGGCTCAGGGAACTGTTTTAACACTCTACATGTGATCACGGCTTGTGCCCAGTTACTAGCAGTTGAGGTCAGCTGAATTAATGGCTTTTGTGGCCCAGCCAGTAAGTGGATGTGTCTGGGTCATTCCTGTGGCCTCTCCAGAGCTTGAAGACGGGACAGCATTGTTGGCACAGATCCTTTTGGGGCCCATGAATTATCTCATTCAGGATGCGGTCTTTCCTTCCTTTGGGACCAAGTATCCTGGGGGGTCACAGGAGGTTTTTTTTAAACAAAAGTAAGAAATGGCTTATAGTGTAGGCCCGTCCTTCTCTTCTGCAATGATGGGGTATTGGCCTAGGCTCTCTGCCCATCTCATCTGCCCAGCCCACCTGCCCTGTGTCTTGTTAGTGTGAATTACAGGTCAGGGTGGCCAGTGGCCTGAGTCAGGGCGAGACTCGCCGGGATCAGCACCGCCACCCCTTTTCCTGTGGCCTGATTATCTCACAGGCTGTGTGGGTTCTGAGGAAGCGATCCGAGGTCGGAAAGCAGCTCGAGGGCTTCCCTGGCGGCTCAGGGGACGTGGCAGGTCTGATCCCGGGGTCGGGAAGATCCCCGGAGAAGGAAACGGCAACCCACTGCAGTATTCTTGCCTGGAGAATCCCATGGACAGAGGAGCCTGGCTATAGTCCATGGGGTCGCAAAGAGTGGGACACGACCTAGTGACTAAATAACAACAAAGCAACCTGAAACCCCTCTTTCTTGCTTAGAAAGGTGAGTGATCTTAACTGCAGGTGAAAGAAGATTAATGGCCCCTTGTCCTCATTTTCCAGGGAGCTGCTCCCCTGTGCAGTGGCTGCAGGTTAATCATAAACTCTGGTCCGTTAGTGAATCACAGCCTCTGAGCTGGCCCCAGAGCTCTGCGGTAGACAGCCCAGATAGAGGTCTTTCTAAAGGATGCCCAACACTTTCAGTGAGATGGTTCCATAAAGCATGCTTATTTCCATGGAGTCTGGAGTGGAATCTAAACACACACCTGAAGCTCATCGTGATGTTATTTTTTTAAAGAATATTCTGTCTGCAGCGGTGCTGGGTCTTTTGCTGCACTCGGGTTCTCTCTAGCTGCAGCGAGCAGGGCTCCTGTTTGTTGCGGTGTGTGGACTCTTCCTGAGGTGTCTTCTCCTGTGGAGTGCGGACCCTCGGCCTCCAGGGCTTCAGGAGCTGCGGCTCCCGGGCTCTGGCGCACAGGCTTGGTAGTTGAGGCCCGTGGGCTTAGTTGCTCTGCGGGCATGTGGGATCTTCCCAGGCCAGGGATTGAACCTGTGTCCCTTGCATTGCAGAGGGGATTCTTAACCACTGGGCCACCAGGGAAGCCCTGAGACTGACAGTGTTATATGTCCATTATATTTAATTTGAAAAATATATTTAATCTTTGTTCCTGGTTCCAGATCCAGAGCTCAGGTCTAAGAACCCTTGGACTTTCTTGAGATCTTTGAAAACAGTTGAGTCTGTGCTAGTGAGGGGACTCCCAAGGCCCTCGGTAGCCTCAGGGTCGGGTGGGGATGGCTGGAAGCTCAGCACTTGCCCTCCCCAAGCCTGTCTGGGGAGGGCGGGCGCTGAGGTGGGGTTACAGGATGTACCAGGAGAGGGCAGGGAACCAGCCTCGCCCACCACTGCCTGTGTACCTTCCCCTCTGAGAAGTCGTTCGTGTAAGCACGGTACTGTTCTGACTTCTGTGACCTGTCCCAGGGAATTGATGAATAGGGACGGTTGTAGGAGCCCCTGAATTCTTGGTCTGTCAGGCATTTGAGGTGGCCCCTGTGGGGACAGTCTTGTGGGACTGAGATCTTTAACTTGTGGGATCTGAAGCTACTACAGGTAGTGTCAAAACCAAATTGCTGGGCAGCCAGTTGGTGCTGGAAAACTGGTTATTGATATAAAAGCCCCCCACCCCCCAAATTGCATGTCAGAGGCGGCGTCAGACGCCACACGTAAAGGTGGTCTGGGCAGCCGGGCCCCGAACTGGGCCCCACAGAGCCCAGGAGAGGGGCCCGGGCCTGAGCTCTGGCCCCGTTGCGCGGCGAGCGCAGGCTGGCTGTGTCCCCTCACCCCGGGAAGGAGGGGGCTGTGGAGGCATCCACACGGAGCCGCTCTCTGTCAGCTTCAGGGCTTTCCTCCCCCGGGATCGCCACCGCCTCCAAGCTGGGCTGTCGCCCGAGTGACGCGGCGTCCTCGTTGCTTCTGCTGACCTGCGGATGCTGGGGGCGGGCAGTGCCCAGGGTGCCCCAGGCCTGCTGTGGGCCAGGCCAGTGTGAGGAAGCTGGAGAGGCTGAAGAGAAGACAGTGCGTTTGGTTGGAAACTGGTGATCATTTGGTTGGCGGCTCCGTGGGAGGGTGCCTGCGATGGACGTTTACATTTTACTCCTGGGATTTGCCTTTTTGATGACTGACCTGTTTGTAGCAGGCGGCTGTCGGGGCAGGCAGGACTCTTGAGGAGGCGGTGAGGCGGGGGTCTGGGCCGGGTCCGAGTGTCGGGGGGTGCAGAGCAGCCTTGAGGCGGGCCCCTGGAGGGCCCGGGTCTGCCGCCGGCCTGGGCACTCCCGTCCTGCACCTACCGGGGAGGCTGGCCCGTGACCCGCCGTGGACGGTCTTAGGACCAGAGGAGACCTGTGTGAGCGGCCGACTCGGGAGAGGCCGGGGCGGGGATGGCAGTGTTGTCCATGGACAGGGCAGTGGACGGCCGCGTGGAGTAAGCTCACCGTGTCAGGGCACACGTGTGGGGGGCCAGGTCCCGGAGGGAGGCAGGGCAGTGGACCTTCGTGGCCTCAGATCTGACGGAATTAAAAGCAGAACTTGCCGTCCTCTCACCTGAAGACTGGGGGTGGAAGGGCAGTCTCCACGGTCACCAGCATTCCTGGAGCGAAGGACGGCTCATGCCGGCTGTCCCGGTGGTCTGGCGCTCAGGGTGGATTCAGTCCTGCAAGCCCTCCTGTGTGGCCAGAAGAAGGAAAGGCTCGTGTCCTGAACACTGAGCTAGATAAAGAAAGATGCTCAGCAGAAGAGAGGAGCGGGTTTCAACAGCTGACTCGGAAAAGAAGCTCTCCCCACGGCCCGCAAGCCTGTGGGAAAATGTCCAGCCCGAGAGGGCAGCAGCGCTGAATGAGCCAGACGACCTGCCCCCCCCACCCGCCCGCACCCCCGACCTGACCCCTGCTCGCCCGTGGTGATGACCCACCCCCCACTCTGCTTGCCCGCGGGGGCTGCGTCTCAGTACTGGTCCCCAGGCTGATGCGCGGGGGTCGGCTCTCCTGCCCGGGGCCGCGTTGGTCCCACACTGGATGCACAGCAGGGCTCCCCGCCCCACACCAGCGCCTTGCGTGGTTCAGACGTGAGAGCCTGTGGCCGCTGGCCACGCAGCTGAGTGTGGAGAAGTGGGCAGCGGCGCCCTGTGGGGCCATGGGGCTGGGCCTCCGGTCTGCACCGCAGGCGGACCTTGTTACCTCCGGAGCTCTCTAGTGTCCAGCCCTGTCCTCCCGTGGACTCGCCACGCTGCTCTCCTCCTCAGTTCAGCCCCACATCAGCCTCCACAGCACCCAGCCGGGAGCAGCGGCGGCGCCGGGACCAGTGACCCCTCCCCTCACAGGGGCCTGGAGGGGCTCGGCCCGGTGACCGGGGCAGCAGGGGGCCCGCCGGCTCAGCTGCTGTTGCCCTGGTGAATTTACCAAGTCAGCTCTGCTGAGGCGGCGGGCTGGGGCACAAAGCTAAGCCTTGCTAATCGGTCACCCGTCTGTGGGGCCTCAGGGTCAGAACGTGAGGCTGGAATGTGGACATTAAACCTTTCCTTAATTTCTAAGTCCCCAAGGCGCTGGTTGAGCCCTTTTTCTTCTGAGAGCTGAGTGTGGGGGAGAGTCCTGGCACTGGCTTCTGCTGATGGAGCAGATGGTCTGGGGGCGGCTCCAGAGGGTCCCTGCCGAGGCTCACTGTGCACAGGGCCCGAGCCAGGCCTGGGGGCGCTACGGCCGGATTCCCGGCGGAGGGCCCCTGGCAGTCTCCGGCATGTCTCGAAACAGACAGGGTGAGCTGGATATCTTAGTGCCAGACTCTGGGATGGGCGGAAAATTGCAACCCTGTCCTTTCCTTGTCCCCGTCAGGCTCCTGGGTAGAATTACACTTCGGCAGTAACGGGAGTGGGAGCAGTGTTCCCGATTCCGTTTCTATTTATAACGGCGACATGGAAAAAATACTGCTGGACGCGCAGCACGAATCCGGACGGAGCAGCTCCAAGAGCTCTCACTGCGACAGGTGGGCGAGCATGCGCGCCCCGGCAAGGCTCCGCGGGCCTGCCCGGGTGGGGGCCACTGCCCCCTGCCGCTGCCAGGCATCGGAGCTCAGCTGAGGAGGCGGGCGGTGGGGGGGGACCCGCTGTGACTCTGCGGCCCTGGTCCCCCCAGGGCTGGTGGGAGTGCTTCCTCCCCTGGGACGCCCTCCCCTGTGTGGGGGTCTGTGTGTCCTGATGGAAAGGTGACCGTGTGCTGTCTCCCCCAAGCCCGCCCCGCTCACAGACCCCCCAGGACACTAACAGAGCTTCTGAGACAGACACGCACAGCCTCGGAGAGAAGAACAGCTCCCAGGTAAGGTGTGCACGGCCTGCCTCCGCCATCTGTTGGTACAGGCTGCTGGGTGACCTGGCCTGCAAGCGGACTTCTGGTTCCTCAGACTTTCTCTCAGCAGTGGGGGGTGGGGGCATCTCCAGCACCTCACAGAATGGACTGGAGGCGGCGGGGCCCAGTTTGGTTCAGGGTGTGTAGCCAGGGCCCCCTCTGCCCCACACGCCCTCTCGGGGGATGCGGGTGGGAGGGGGGAGTGGTGGGAGCTGTGGGGGTCCTTGGGGGTCTGGAGTCACTGGAGGCCTGCCCAATGGGACATTGCTGCTGCGTGCCTTCCTCAACGGCACTAGTTGCTTCCGGAAACCGTGCCTCGGGCTGCAGTGACCAGCGCTTGTGTGGTTCGGGTTAGGAGCTGACTAGGCTGGCTGAGGCTGCGCTGTTTTCTGACCTCCCTTTAATGGATCTCTGAGATGGGGTGGGGGGAAGCCATAGCCCCTGCTGGGGGAAGTCCACGAGAGCCGGGTGGGCTGTGGCCCTGAGCTGCCTCTCTGTATCCCTGGGTCGGGCCCGTGCGGCCTTGCCAGGCCGTCTCCCTGCCTGCTGCCCCTTGTGATGCTCAGGGGTGTGTAGGATCTAGGAACCTGGGGGGCCCTGCTCTCCTAGTAGCTCAGCTGGTGAAGGAGCCGCCCGCAGTGCAGGAGACCCCGGGTCCACTCCTGGGTCGGGAAGATCCCCTGGAGGAGGGAAAGGCTCCCCACCCCCTGGCTCCCTGTGAGAGCGGTGGGGGCCGAGCCACCGGCCAGTGCCCCCTGGTCCCCCTGCTCCCTCCGGCCGCCCCCAGGCTCTCCCTCCTCAGGGAGTCAGCGGCCCTTGCGCTCGGGCTCCTCCGGGGCGCTGCCCGCCGCTCGCGGATGAGCGGCTCCAGCCTGGCTTCGTGTGTCTGGGCGGCTGGCTGGCTTTGGTGCCGTGTTCTAGAGTGTTTCCATAATTTGCCCCTGAATTTAAAGAGGAGTTCTATCATTAGGTACAGAGTTTTTAAAATTCGAAGAATTGCCGCTTCTTACAGCTCTTCAGTTAGTGTGTCATCACTAACGTGCATTTTTAAGAAAGCCACTGAAGCTGGGGTGCACATCGGGGCCTGGTCTCCTCTCCGCAGACGTGGGCGTATCTGCTCTCACCGCTGCGCAGCGTGCCGTCTGCTTAGGCATATCCCTGCTGGGGGCCTTTAGGGGGTTTCCGTTCTCTCCTTTTATAGCTGGAGCCACAGCCGGCGTCTCTGTGGACGTCTGTCCCTGCTGGCTGGTGCCTCCCTGGGGCGGTGCCTGCAGCTCAGGGCTGCTGGAGTCCGGCGGGCCCTCCTTGGGGGTGTGGTGGGGCTGGGCCGCGGGCTCGGGTGGTCGGCGAGCTTCCTGGGGTGGAGGCAGCAGGTTCACCGACTTCATCTCCCCGCAGTCTGAGGAAGACTTCATGGAGAGGAGGAAAGAGGTCGAAAGCATCCTGAAGAAAAACTCAGACTGGATTTGGGATTGGTCCAGTCGGCCAGAGAACGTCCCCCCGGCCAAGTGAGTCTGCATCCGGGGGCCTCCGGGGCCGGGTGCCAGCGCCCGCTGACCGCCCTCTCCCCGCAGGGAGTTCCTGCTCTTCAAGCACCCGAAGCGCGCGTCGACGCTCAGCATGCGCAACACGAGCGTCATGAAGAAGGGCGGCATCTTCTCCGCGGAGTTCCTCAAGGTCTTCCTGCCGTCACTGCTGCTGTCCCACCTGCTGGCCATCGGGCTGGGGTGAGTGGCGCTGCGCGGGGCCCGTGCCGGCCTCCGGCACAGGCGGGGGAGCGGGGCAGACCCTGGGGCGGCCCGCACGTGGAGGGCGCTGGTTGCTGAGGTGTGGGTACAGGGGCAGAGCAGCTCCTCCTCGGGGGCGGCTGCAGGTGGGAGTCCACCACTTTGGCCGCGTGTGTGCCTGTCAGAGCCGCTCGGCAGCAAGACCGGCCAGGGCTCCCATCCTTGTGACGTGAACACGGGGGCCGCCTGGGCCGTGGGCACCTCAGCCCAGAGCTGCTCCTGGGGCTCACCCCACCTCTGTCCAGGCGGGCGTGGCTCTCCCTGGTCCTGACGCGGGCGGATGGGCTTCTGGGCAGCCTGCTGGGCCGCTGGATATCAGGACAGGCTCCTGACGTGGGCTGGGGCCACCGGGCTCTGAGAAGGTGGCAGAGGAGGCGCCGGTCCTCCCTGCCCCACCTCCTGAGCCCCGGCCCACAGCCCTGCCTCCCGCCGCCCCCCGGTTCCCCCTCTCAGCACAGCACAGACTCTGTCTCCACCCGTCCTTCTCACAGTCAGGCTGTCAGGGTCCTGCAGGGAGCCTTGTCCAGAACCAGCAGGCAGGTCCTCCGGGGCCGGGCGGGGTTAGGCTTCAGCCTTCATCTCAGGATGGATTTCCGCAGGTGTGTCTGCCCCCTGACCTCCTGGGGGTCAGGATCCAGCCCTCTTGTCCAGTCTCCTCCATTGCTCTGCGGAGACTCCCCCTGGGCTGTAGGCCCTTGGTGTCCTCCCCCCGCCCTCCTCCTGGGCAGCCCCCCGAGCCCCTCCGTTTCGGGCTCCCTGGCATGCCCGTGCGCAGCAGTGGTTTTTGTGAGATGTACTGAAAGGCCCAGGGCCGTCAGCTGTCCTGCGGGTGACTGCCTGATCAGGTCGGAAAGTGGAGAGGGAGCATCTCAGCTCAGGAGTCGTCTGTGTGTGCCGAGTGTGTTCGTTGCACAGCGTTAGAGCACAAGTGGATTCTTCTGAATTGGATGCTGAAGTGCGTGCTGGTAGGCGTGAAACACAAGTGTTCAGTCAGTGTTGACAGCCAGTCCCCTTCGTAGATGAGCTGGGCCAGTCCACTGCTGTCTCAGCTGCGCACGCCCACGGAGACAGGACGCCCTTTAACGACCGCCTCCTTTCTCTGCCAGGATCTACATCGGGAGGCGCCTGACCACATCCACCAGCACGTTCTGATACAGGCTTCAGCCCGGCGTCCCCACGCCGCGGGGCCCGCGCCCCGCACAGCGCGCGGAAGCCGCCCCACGCGTCGTTTCTTCTGTCAGTGCCGCCTTCCTAACTCTGAAACAGACACTAAACCACGCTCTCCCGCAGTCACACTTACGGGATCGAGCGACAAGCATGTCATTGATTAATATCTACTGTAATAATTCGGTAGTAACCTTTTTTCAGATATTATAAATATCAAAGTATAAATAATTTTAAAATACCTAGCTATGTTGTATGTAGTATTTTAACGAATTACCTGCAACCGTGATTGAATTAAACACTATTTTGAGAGAAGGAATACTACTGATGCTAGAAGGACTACCTGAGGGGTTTACCTGAATAAACATGTGGCCTTACTCCCGCTGCAGACGTTTCGGTGGACGCGTCCGTCCGCTGCAGATGGCCCTTAGGGCCGAGTGTCTGGTGGCTTTGGTAGGCGGCGTGCAGAATCCAGGCCACAGCGCGGTGGCGCTGCACCGTCCCCACCCCGGGCCATCGGGCAGCACAGTGCGGACCCCCCCAAGGCTGTCAGCACCACCCCGGGCAGCAGCCACTGGCGGCGTGTAGAATCCAGGCTGCAGCAGGTCAGGTCGCGCTGAGCCGTCCCCGCCCCGGGCCGTCGGGCAGCACATGGCGGACCCCCGAGGCTGTCAGTACCACCCCGGGCAGCAGCCACTGGACAAGCATTGTCTCCTCGCATCTCCGGATTGCTGAGTTTAGTCTGTGTTCGGTTTCTGTGTGGTCTTAGTATCAGCTTCATTCTAAGCTATTGTCTATTTTAAAAGGCTGGAAATAGAAAAAAAATAAATCTTTGCCAAATCCCTGGTTATGGTATTAACATATGGTTTAAAGCCAAACCATACAAGCTTCTTGGTGAAGCCAGGTGTATCCCCACTGCCTGGGTGTTAAAGGATGCCCTTTCATACACTGTATCAATAAATGGTGTTGTATTTGCTTCACTTTTCCACACTAAATTCCAGTTGTGTTCAATAAATGTAACATTCTAATTTTTAAAAACTTGGTTTATATTTAAATGATGACCTTGGAGGTAGCTCGCAGGCCTTCCATCTGAAGGCGAAGCGTCAGCTTCTTTACACCGATTGGTCCTGAAGAGGCGAAGCCCATGTTGCGCTGACCCACCCTGGCCAGGGGTGCGTCTCACCGCAACGGGTGTGGTTGAGGCTGCGCTCAGGGCCTCCTGGAGGCCAGGGGTCCCCAGGGCCAGCACACTTGGAGAGCACGGGTGAGTGGGGCTGCGATGATAGGCGGCTTCGTGCAGCCAGACCGCAAGGACGTGCCCAGGGCTGGGGAGTTGTAAGTTCTTGAGGGTATCCTCCCTTTATTCTCTGGAACACCAGTTTTAATTCAGGACTGATTGCACTAACTTCCTTTTGGTTTCGTTTTTTAAAACCTTGGTTCTCTCTTGTTTTCCGGCAGGATTATTTTTCTGTTCCTAACCCCAGGTTGCGTATCCTTTCTCCCAGCTGCCTGCTGACTGATGCTGTCACGGGCACAGCTGGGCTGCCAGGCTCCCTGAAGCTTCTCTCCCCTCATTGATGTTATAGTGGATGTCTCATCCAGTAAGGTGTGGGACTGTGTGTGTGAGCATTTTCACTTTTTTGGGCAAGAGGACAGCACGGTGACAGCTTCCATACCCCCTCCTGTTAACGCAGATCACACTGTCATGCATCTTACTGACTGAATGGCACGTTCACAGCAGATCACACTGTCATCCGTCTTATTGACTGAATGGCAAGTTCACAACCTCCAGAGGACGCTCACGCCTGTGCTTGGCTGTTTCCTAACTAGACTCTTGGCAGCCGTGCCTGCAGACTGTGGGGTCACGCTGGGGGAGGAGGCAGGCAGGCCCACCCTGGGGGGAAGCGGGCAGCACCTTCAGCGACATGTGTCTGGGCCGCTTCTGGTTTAGCACTTGACAATGCGTGTGCACGAAGATGACGACTTGGGAGAACATGACAGGGTCCCTGAACCAGTACCATGTGGTTTCCAGCATAAAATAAGCAGTGGGAAAGCATCGCAGTGTCCCCAGTTCTGTAAGCAGCGGCCAGGCTTTCTGAGGCCGGGCCTTTAGCCCCACCCCCAGCTGGTGAGCAGGACCGCCCGGAGAGCTCGGGCAGCCGTGTGGCCGGCCCGTCCTCCGCTGAGCTGTCTCGGGGAAGGGCTGAGTCTGCGGAGCCCTAATTGCAGGCTGAGTGACAAAGTGTGTGCAAGTGAAACGGTTTAGTATTGTTCATGCAGAAGAACTGATGGGGAAGACTCATGAAAGTCCCCTGGATGGTGAGGAGATCCAACCAGTCCATCCTAAAGGAAATCAACCCTGAATATTCACTGGAAGGACTGATACTGAAGCTCCAATACTTTGGCCACCTGATGTGAAGAGTTGACTAGTTGGAAGAGACTGACGCTGGGAAAGACTGAAGGCAAAATGAGGGTGGCAGGGGATGAGATGGTTAGATACCATCACTGACCCCACGGAAATGAATTTGGACAAACTCTGGGAGACAGTAAAGGACAGTGAAGGCTGGTGTGCTGCAGTTTCATGGGGTCGCAAAGCGTTGGACATGACTGAGCGCCTGAACAACATGCAGAAAAGAGCCAGAGTATGCACATGTGCTCACTTGTGCCAGAAACTTGGGATGAATCTGCCAGATATGAATGAACCTGGCTGTCCCCACGGACAGGGTGTAACCAGGAGAGGGGGTGGGAACATGGTTGGGGGGGGACCCTCTGAATAACCTACTCCTGCGCCCACAGTGCTGCTTCATTTACTGCAAAAGTCATTAATTCAAGTCGGTGATAACATGGGAACCTGACTATTGAGAATGTGAACTTTCCTACCAGTCCAGTGGTTAAGAATGTGCCTGCCAACGCTGGGGACATGGGATCGATCCCTGGTCTGGGAAGACCCTACGTGCTGTGGAGCAGTGAAGCCCGCGGGCCACAACTACTGAGCCCGCGCTCGACACGTGTAGAGAAAGCTCGCGCACAGCAACTAACGCGCTGCAGCCAAAAATAAACACGTGAACCTGCGTCCAGTGAACCACAGGAGTTTTACATCATCAGGAGGAGAAAAGGCTTAAATGGAGTCAGAGTGTCAACTGGCAAAGAACACGGGAGAAATTCCTGTGCGTCTCTTAGATTACACACTCCTCAAGGGCGACTCAGGGCTGTCAGCCCAAGACGGGGACCCCTGCCTGGCCACGCACACCCCAGCACAAGGCCCTCTGAGAGGCAGAAGGCTGCTTTCTTGTTCGGTGGGAAGTATGTCTTGAAAGAAACATGGAAAAAACTGTCCAATTACACAGTACGAACATCTACGAACACCGTAGTTAAACATCTGAAATTTATTAAGACAGCTAAACAAATATGTACCCCCTCTTTCCAGAACTGCTTGAGGACCAGGGCTGACCAGATACTTAGACAACTATTCAATGTCTCAGATTTGTGAACTGCATCACAACCAACACAGGGTACAAGAATTACCTTTAAAGTAAGTGTATTAGGTTGGTGCAAAAATAACTGATTTCAGACCGTGAATTTTAAACCGTCATCAGTCAGTTCAGTCACTCAGTCCTGTCTGACTCTTAGCGACCCCATGGACTGCAGCACGCCAGGCCTCCCTGTCCATCACCAACTCCTGGAGCTTGCTCAAACTCATGTCCATCGAGTCGGTGATGCCATCCAACCATCTCATCCTCTGTCATCCTCTTCTCCTCCTGCCCCCAATCCCTCCCAGGATCAGGGTCTTTTCCAATGAGTCAGTTCTTTGCATCAGGTGGCCAAAGTACTGGAGTTTCAGCTTCAGCATCAGTCCTTCCATTGAATATTCAGGACTGATCTCCTTTAGGATGGACTGGTTGGATCTCCTTGCAGTCCAAGGGACTCTCAAGAGTCTTCTCCAACACCACAGTTCAAAAGCATCAATTCTTCGGTGCTCAGCTTTCTTTATAGTCCAACTCTCACATCCACACATGACTACTGGAAAAACCATAGCTTTGACTAGACAGACTTTTGTTGGCAAAGTAACATCTCTGCTTTTGAATATGCGATCTAGGCTGGTCATAGTTTTTCTTCCAAGGAGCAATAAATCGTTATAATTAATTTCTACAGAATAAAAATCTGTGCTTCGGGATTTGATGAACTCTTGGAAAGTATCTTCTGCCTCCTGCTGGTTGTGGAAATGTTTTCCCTGCAAAAAGTTGTTGAGCTGCTTGAAGAGGTGGTCTGTTGGTGAGAGGTCAGGTGAATATGGTGGATGAGGTAAAACTTCATAGCCCAATTCATTCAACTTTTGAAGCATTGGTTGTGCAACATGTGGTCGGGCGTTGTTGTGGAGAACTGCGCCCTTTCTGTTGACTGGTGCTGACAGGCGTTGCAATTTTTGGTGTTCATTGATCCGCTGAGCCTACTTCTCAGATGTAATGGTTTCACTGGGATTCTGAAAGCTGTCGTGGATCAGAGGGGCAGCAGAACACCAAACAGTGACCTGAGCTTTTTTTGGTGCAAGTGTGACTGGAAAGTGCTTTGGAGCTTTTTCTCAGTCAAGCCACTGAGCTGGTCATTGCCAGTTGAATAAAATCTGCTTTTCATCACACGTCACAATCCAACCGAGAAGTGGTTCATAAGTTTTGCATACAGTAAGAGAAGTTAAAAACGACCATTTTTTAAATTTTCAGTCACCTCACGAGGCACCCACTTAGTGAGGTTTTACCTTTTCAATTTTCTTCAAATGCCAAATGACCGTAGAATAGTCAACACTGAATTCTGTGGCAACTGCTTGTGTGGTTTTAGAGGATCAGCCTGGATGATGGTCCTCAGTTGCTCACTGTCAACTTCTGATGGCCGGCCACTACACCCTCACCTCCAAGGCTCTCGTCTCCTGTGCAAATCTTCTTGAACCCCCACTGCACTGTATGTTCGTCAGCCGTTCCTGGGCCAAATGCGCTGTAGATGTTGCGAGTTGTCGCCGCTGCTTTCTGACCCATTTTGAACCTGAATAAGAAAATCGCTTGAATTTGCTTTTTGTCTAACATCATCTCCCTAGTCTCAAATAAATATAAAATACACAGCAGGTCAGTCATTAGCAAAAAAACATAAAGCAAGAAATGATATATAACATAACCACATTAAGGATGTATTCCAGTATCAAACAGTAAATTTCAACAATGCAAAACCCGCAGATGTGTTTGCACCCACCTAATACGTTTGGTTCTCAATTTGCAACTGAAATGTGTGCTGATGGGGCCGCCTCCACAGAGACTCCACGGGCAGCGCGTGGGCCCAGCCGCCCGCCCCCCGAAGACTGGGGCCCCGGCTCCAGTGTGGGATTCCGCAGAGAAGCTCCAGTGACTTACTGTTACCTCTGTTTTTTGGGGGGGTGGGGGGAAATCTTGATTTCTGATACCAAAGATCCTACTGTTAAAACAAACCATCAAGGGATAGAAATTAAAACGGTTTAATTTTCGCTGCCTTTAAGTGTGAAATCTAGGGTATAATTTTAACATTTTAAAAAAGTATGTTATCCCCCCACCCCGCACCTAGTACTTTTAAACAAATTTTAGAAAAAGCACAAAAGTCTTCAACTGCAGAGCATCTGTCGTGTGCTCTAAACCCCGAGTTGGTTTCTCAGCAGCGGTTCTGTTACTACTCCCTGTGATTTTCTCTCTGTTAAGGCTTTGTCCAGTCCTTACCTGGTGGGTCAGGGGTACCAGTTCTACAGAAACAAAGGTTACAGAACTTTGGGGATACATACGCTCAGAGCCTCAAGCACTACACACGTTCCACCATTCTGTCAGTGAAGGATAAAACAGTTTTAAAGTCTTAATGCTGCATAATTTCGTTATGTGCAATGAAAGCAAATAAAAAGACAGTGCTTATTTTGGACTTAGAAACACTCTTTACAGTGCGTTGCTTTTCTTAAGCGGTTGCCCCAGGAGGGGTGACAGTGGATACAGGGGCGGCGGAGTGAAGCTGCCTGAGAGCCCCTGGGCGCAGAGCCGCCGAGGCTGGCGGGCGGGCGGCGGCCCGTCTACGGCCGAGGAGGAGGGCTGGTAGGAGAGCTTGCACTGACGCCTCTTCTCTGGGGTGTGGATGTCTGGCCTCTAATCTGGAAGGCAGGCTTAGACCTAAATAAAGACATCTACATTAGTCACGGCCCCTCGAGGCCTGCCCGTCACTCCGCTTCCAGCTGGCTTCTCACCTGAGCAGCGACACCCAGGGCTCCCCTCCCCGGAGCAGAAGCCGGGGTCCCCGCTCGGACCCCCAGGCAGTCTGCGCTGAGGCAGGGGGGCGTCCCTGCTTCTCTGAGGAGAGGCAGCCACCTGTGCTCCGACGGCGAGCAGGCGCGATTCAGCAGACGCGGGGCCCTCTGCCGCTGTAGCTGACCTCATCCTGGAAGGTGTACAGGTGGCTGGCTGGCTGGTGGCGGCCACGGCGGTGACACTCTCGGCCGCGTGCCCACGTGGGCAGGGTCTTCCTGCTGTTGCAGGCTGCCCACGCTCACCTCGCCCGTCCACTGCCTGCCCGCACACACCCTGTGAGGCTGCAGGCTGGCCTGGGGCCTGCTGTTCTCTCTGGAGGCCTCCAGCGTCTCTTCCCTCTGGGTGGACCTATCGAACATCTGGAAGAAGCTGTTGTAGGGCCCGTCAGGACAGCGCCGCGTGAAAGATGACAACCTGTAAGCCACGAGGAACCCCGGCCCCGCTGCCCAGACGAAGCGGCTCACCGCCTACCCCACCGCTGCACAGGTCACCTTCAGCCATCAGACACGAAAGATCAGGGGACAACCAAGGTGAAAATGTCTGACTGAGCCTCATACACAGTTGTATCAGTAAAAGCAAATACAACGGAATGAAAAAGGAAAAAGTAGTGAATTTACACTTTTAATTATATTAATGTGTTTTTGAAAAAGGTAAAAACCTTGACTTTCTCAGAATGTTTCCCATCTTCAGTGAATTCAAGATCTCTTCAGCTGCACAGGGCGCGCTGAATCCACAGTGGGCTTTCAGGACGCAGCTCCCGCCTTGAGCCGAGGCTGGGGTGTGGGGGCCACGTGCGTGTCCATGAGCGCGGCCTGGCCCCTTCCTGCACCCCGCGTACACTCTGCTGCGCGGGACTCCAGTAGCTGGATTCTCAGGGCTCCACGTTCTATTGTTTCCGATGGCCTGTGTACACTGCCTTTCCTACGCGTGCCTGGCCGTCTGCGCCGGTGAGCTCTGGTTTCATGGGTTTCAGCCCGGGGAAATCCTGGGCCCTGGCGCCCTGGGAAGGGCAAATCCTCCATGGGGGCCGGGCACCCTGCATGGCCTCAGCGGGTCTGCTGAGAAAGCATTTTGTGAGGGCTCTGAACCTGGGTCCCATTGCAGGCCGCAGCTGTGTTTTCCACCTTCTGAAGCCGGGGGGACCCCGAGCTCCAAGTGCTGCTGGGACACCAAGTCCGCCACAAGGGCGGCCCACCCAGGCTCGGGGCCCCCACAGGGCTCTGTTGGTGCCCAGGCGGCTGTGCTGAGGCCTGAGGGCGAAGTCCTGTCTCTGCCCCGGGCGCCACATCCTCCGCGGGCATGGACACCACACGGGGCACATCAGCCTGTGAAGAGTGGGCACGCAGACGTGATGCGTCCTCTCCCCACGTGCCTGGCCAGGCCTGCTGGGCGTGCTCCGCACATCAACACACACACACAGGCGTGCTCGTGGTCACAAATCTCAGGGGACGTGATCCACCCCAGCCCAAGGTCTCTCACACACATGTCTCCCTTGGGGCCAGTCTAACGCAGACGGGTGCCTTCTACGGATCCCGAGGGTGTCCGTCTCAAGAGCCAACCTCTACGGGTCCAGAGTCACGGCTCCCCCCAACCTGGGCTCCCGGGTCCAGCTGAGGCCCCGAGGCCAGCGCAGCGCCCTCTTTACTCTCAACCACAAAGATGCACAAAGGACGGCAGCGTCACGGTCAGCAGTTCCCGGGGCCTGTGCCGCAGGGCACCTCGGGATGTCTAACAGCCCCTCACCACCACCGGAGGTCCTCGGCTCAGACGCGTGCAAGCCCCACCCGGCACACAATCCCATCACAGACGCACGGCAGCATCTCCTGCCGTCTCACGAGAGGAGATGTTTCAAATGTTATTAAACACAGACCTCTAGGCAGAACCAGCGCGGTCGTCACTTCTAAGGCACGTGCCCACAGACAACCAGAAGCATCGAAACGGCCGTAGCCCCGTCAGAGCGGGGCGTCACACCAGCCACCGCACTGGCATCCCCACATGGCAGCATTCTGGGGTCTTGTCCTCTGCTTGTTCCCAAAGCAAAGACCATCCCACCCACACTAGCTTCCTCACCTCCTTCCTTTCACTCCTCTTGAAAATAATAGAAAATAAGAAATTATCATCCACTAAGCATTTCGGAAACAGCCAGTGTGAATCTAGCACTGTGCTTGCTGGTCGGACTGGGATGGAATTGCAAGCAGTGAGAGAAGCGTGCCCAGACACCCCGTGTCCACCCTGGGCAGCCGGGCCCGCGCCTGCCCTGGCCCTGGCAGGCCCGGTCCCCACGCAGGCCTCTCTGGTCAGGGCCACTGCAGCAGCGCTTGGCGCTGTCGGAGACGCCGTCACCGCTGCAGAGGGAACCCGGCTCGCTGCGAAGGTGCTCGTGGACCTCGGAGACGCCGTCACCGCTGCAGAGGGAACGCGGCTCGCTGCGAAGGCGCTCGTGGGCCTCATGGAAGCACAGGAAGGGCGGGGCGGTGGCGCCCACGGCCTCGCCTGGTGGGTCTCGACGGGCCAGCGCTGCGCGCTCAGGCCCCACACCTCCACCGACGGGCGGCCACGGCCCGTGCAGCGCCGACCGCGTGGCCGAAGGCCGCGTCGGACACGGAGGGGCCACTTTCCGAGAAGGACCTACTGCTGGGCTCCTGCCACACCGGGAAGCACAGCGCTTCCACTTCTGCTCAAAAGCCACAGAACGGCCCGCTCTGCAGCGAAAGCGAGGCCTCCAGGCTCACCCGGCCCTGGCCCGCAACCCGGAGCGCCGCCAGGGCGCCCGCAGACGCCCTGCATAGCCTGTGGCTCCACGGGGGCCGGGGCCCGGCGCACCCCAGGTGGCAGCCTCCACGCCGGACAGCACGAAGGGCAGCGCGAGAGGCGGATGCGGGCGCAGGGCCCTCCGCCACCCTGAGCCGTAGGCGCTGCAGGGCCATCCCTCAGCTGAGGACGCTTGGACTCCAGCCGGAAAGGTCCCACCTGCCACGGCCCGTCGGGTTTTCCTTCACTATTCAATGGGCAAGACTCACTTCAGCAAAACCCAGTTACTGTTTTCAGAAAGATTCTGAAGACTTCCTGGGCAGACCTTTCTTTCTCCAACACTTCTGCTCTATCAGCAATAACTTGAGTGCTTGTCTTCCCTCACCCGCCCGTGTGCCAGACCCCAGAGCCTGCTCTGGCTCGGGGAACTGTGGGCAAGGAGGCCTGTCCTTGCTTTCATTTTCAGCTGCTGCTTTTTTTTTTTTTTTCCCCAGCTGCTGCTTTTTAAAAAATAAATGTATTACAAGGAACCTATATGTTTATTGACTCTGCATCTGAAGTTGATCCTAAGCAACCTAGTGGCAATACTGAGCGTTTACTCACATAAATAACTTGGCTGACAAATAAAACCGTTCTGGGAATCTAAACCTGCTTACTCAAGAGTGTTGTCTTGAAAACACAGGCCAAATGCTCAGGCCCTGGCACTTTGCAGCGGGAGACGCTCTGGACGGACTGACCGATACACTGACATCACTGCAGGACAAAGCGTCCAGAACAGGACAGTCCACGGCGCTCTGGGCCGGGATGCCGTCAGCGCTCAGCGCCCGGGGGCATGCTGGCAGAGTTCCCGGGACGCACACGATGTGTCACGTGACACACAGACTTCCTGGTTGTCTACAAAGTAGGGCCTGCTCCTTGTGACTGAAAATGACAAACCCAAAGCGCTCCTCCCCCAGAAGAACTTCAAGGCTCAGTGGGCGAAAGCCTGAGCTTTCCTGAGGGAACTGGCTCCCAGGCCAGCAGAGCTCTGCAGGGACAGAGCCCATCCCGAGGGGGAGACGGCCTTTGGCCTCAGCAGAGGGCCCTGTGCACAGAGGGGCTGGCCGGGGTGACCTGCAGGCCCTACCGCGGGCACTCTGGAAGCAGGGCCTCCGCGCAGGCAGGCACACGGGCGGCAGGCGGCACCGCAAGGTCTCTGGAGGTGGTGAGAACCCGGACAAGGCGGGCTGCAGACGGGAAGTACGTGAGCTCGCCAGCACTTACCCTCGGCGTGCAGGCAGCACGGGGCGGACGGGCCCCTTGCTGGTGCTGTGGACGAGCACGCTGCCCTGGAGGTGGTCACGCTCCTCTGTGGACGAGCACGCTGCCCTGGAGGGGGTCAGGCTCCTCTGTGGACGAGCACGCTGCCCTGGAGGGGGCGGGGCTCCGCTGTGGACGAGCACGCTGCCCTGGAGGTGGTCAGGCTCCTCTGTGGACGAGCACGCTGCCCTGGAGAGGGCGGGGCTCCGCTGTGGACGAGCACGCTGCCCTGGAGGTGGTCAGGCTCCTCTGTGGACAAGCACGCTGCTCTGGAGGTGGTCAGGCTCCTCTGTGGACGAGCACGCTGCCCTGGAGGGGGCGGGGCTCCTCTGTGGACGAGCACGCTGCCCTGGAGGGGGCGGGGCTCCGCTGTGGACGAGCACGCTGCCCTGGAGAGGGCGGGGCTCCGCTGTGGACGAGCACGCTGCCCTGGAGGTGGTCAGGCTCCTCTGTGGACAAGCACGCTGCCCTGGAGGGGGCGGGGCTCCGCTGTGGACGAGCACGCTGCCCTGGAGGGGGCGGGGCTCCGCTGTGGACGAGCACGCTGCCCTGGAGAGGGCGGGGCTCTGCTGTGGACGAGCACGCTGCTCTGGAGGTGGTCAGGCTCCTCTGTGGACGAGCACGCTGCCCTGGAGGGGGCGGGGCTCCGCTGTGGACGAGCACGCTGCCCTGGAGGGGGTCAGGCTCCTCTGTGGACGAGCACGCTGCCCTGGAGGTGGTCAGGCTCCTCTGTGGACGAGCACGCTGCCCTGGAGAGGGCGGGGCTCCGCTGTGGACGAGCACGCTGCCCTGGAAGTGGTCAGGCTCCTCTGTGGACAAGCACACTGCCCTGGAGGTGGTCAGGCTCCTCTGTGGACGAGCATGCTGCTCTGGAGGTGGTCAGGCTCCTCTGTGGACGAGCACGCTGCCCTGGAGGGGGCGGGGCTCCGCTGTGGACGAGCACGCTGCCCTGGAGGGGGGTCAGGCTCCTCTGTGGACGAGCACGCTGCCCTGGAGAGGGCGGGGCTCCGCTGTGGACGAGCACGCTGCCCTGGAGGTGGTCAGGCTCCTCTGTGGACGAGCACGCTGCTCTGGAGGTGGTCAGGCTCCTCTGTGGACGAGCATGCTGCCCTGGAGGGGGCGGGGCTCCGCTGTGGACGAGCACGCTGCCCTGGAGGGGGTCAGGCTCCTCTGTGGACGAGCACGCTGCCCTGGAGGTGGTCAGGCTCCTCTGTGGACGAGCACGCTGCCCTGGAGAGGGCGGGGCTCCGCTGTGGACGAGCACGCTGCCCTGGAGGTGGTCAGGCTCCGCTGTGGACGAGCACGCTGCCCTGGAGGGGGCGGGGCTCCGCTGTGGACGAGCACGCTGCCCTGGAGGTGGTCAGGCTCCTCTGTGGACGAGCACGCTGCCCTGGAGAGGGCGGGGCTCCGCTGTGGACGAGCACACTGCCCTGGAGGTGGTCAGGCTCCTCTGTGGACGAGCACGCTGCCCTGGTGGGGGCGGGGCTCCGCTGTGGACGAGCACGCTGCCCTGGAGGTGGTCAGGCTCCTCTGTGGACGAGCACGCTGCCCTGGTGGGGGCGGGGCTCCGCTGTGGACGAGCACGCTGCCCTGGAGGTGGTCAGGCTCCTCTGTGGACGAGCACGCTGCCCTGGTGGGGGCGGGGCTCCGCTGTGGACGAGCACGCTGCCCTGGAGGGGGCGGGGCTCCTCTGTGGAGGAGCACGCTGCCCTGGAGGGGGCGGGGCTCCGCTGTGGACGAGCACGCTGCCCTGGAGGTGGTCAGGCTCCGCTGTGGACGAGCACGCTGCCCTGGAGGTGGTCAGGCTCCTCTGTGGACAAGCACGCTGCCCTGGAGGTGGTCAGGCTCCTCTGTGGACGAGCACGCTGCTCTGGAGGTGGTCAGGCTCCTCTGTGGACGAGCACGCTGCCCTGGAGGGGGCGGGGCTCCGCTGTGGACGAGCACGCTGCCCTGGAGGTGGTCAGGCTCCTCTGTGGACGAGCACGCTGCTCTGGAGGTGGTCAGGCTCCGCTGTGGACGAGCACGCTGCCCTGGAGGTGGTCAGGCTCCTCTGTGGACAAGCACGCTGCCCTGGAGGTGGTCAGGCTCCTCTGTGGACAAGCACGCTGCCCTGGAGGTGGTCAGGCTCCTCTGTGGACGAGCACGCTGCTCTGGAGGTGGTCAGGCTCCTCTGTGGACGAGCACGCTGCCCTGGAGGGGGCGGGGCTCCGCTGTGGACGAGCACGCTGCCCTGGAGGTGGTCAGGCTCCTCTGTGGACGAGCACGCTGCTCTGGAGGTGGTCAGGCTCCGCTGTGGACGAGCACGCTGCCCTGGAGGTGGTCAGGCTCCTCTGTGGACAAGCACGCTGCCCTGGAGGTGGTCAGGCTCCTCTGTGGACAAGCACGCTGCCCTGGAGGTGGTCAGGCTCCTCTGTGGACGAGCACGCTGCCCTGGAGAGGGCGGGGCTCCGCTGTGGACGAGCACGCTGCCCTGGAGGTGGTCAGGCTCCTCTGTGGACGAGCACGCTGCCCTGGTGGGGGCGGGGCTCCGCTGTGGACGAGCACGCTGCCCTGGAGGTGGTCAGGCTCCTCTGTGGACGAGCACGCTGCCCTGGTGGGGGCGGGGCTCCGCTGTGGACGAGCACGCTGCCCTGGAGGGGGCGGGGCTCCGCTGTGGACGAGCACGCTGCCCTGGAGGTGGTCAGGCTCCGCTGTGGACGAGCACGCTGCCCTGGAGAGGGCGGGGCTCCGCTGTGGACGAGCACGCTGCCCTGGAGGTGGTCAGGCTCCTCTGTGGACGAGCACGCTGCCCTGGAGAGGGCGGGGCTCCGCTGTGGACGAGCACACTGCCCTGGAGGTGGTCAGGCTCCTCTGTGGACGAGCACGCTGCCCTGGTGGGGGCGGGGCTCCGCTGTGGACGAGCACGCTGCCCTGGAGGTGGTCAGGCTCCTCTGTGGACGAGCACACTGTCCTGGAGGGGGCGGGGCTCCGCTGTGGACGAGCACGCTGCCCTGGAGGTGGTCAGGCTCCGCTGTGGACGAGCACGCTGCCCTGGAGGTGGTCAGGCTCCGCTGTGGACGAGCACGCTGCCCTGGAGGTGGTCAGGCTCCGCTGTGGACGAGCACGCTGCCCTGGAGGTGGTCAGGCTCCGCTGTGGACGAGCACGCTGCCCTGGAGGGGGTCGGGCTCCGCCATGACCACCTCCGTCAGTTCCTCCATGTTGGCTGGCTTCTGTCCACGATTTCTGGAAGCGCATGGTTAAGGCCGGGCTCGCAGGCAGGAGGTTTAAGAGCTTAGGTGTGAAGGAAGCGATTACAGGCACTGTAATCTGCCAGGTAAGAGGATCTGTGTTAATGCACTAATCAGATCCAGCAACGCCTGGGGAGAGGGGGCTGCCTTCATCTCATTCAAAGCAACATAACACACATTAAAAGATAAGGAAGAAAAGCAGACAAGTGCCCACTGCACTCGAGTCCCACATAACAGCCACAAAACGGCACAGACCCAGGAGTATTGCCAGACTCCAGTGGATCCCGACAGAGTCGAAGTACCTGATACCAAGAGCCTGTCCTAAGCGGTCAGAGCAAGGTCACATGGCAGGCTGCCAAACAGAGACATGGCTTGACTGAAAACACGAGGAAGAGTGGAACCTGGCTGTGGGCCCGGCCAGGAGAGCAGGAACTGATGACAACATGGAGGCTGAGAAACCCAGGGACCACCCCCCCCCCCCCCCCCCCGGCAGAGCCTGCAGCCGTCAGACAGCACGCGCAGGGCCCTGAAGTGCTGAAGCGCGACGCTGCCCAGCACTCGGTGGTAGGTACCGCCAGGCTGCCGAGCAGGGTGGGGACCAGGCTAGCCCAGAGTCGGGGAAGCACACGGGGCTCACAGGGCCGTAAAGCCAACGGGTTCCGGAGGACTGGTCAGCGCAGGCCTTCGAGGACACCCCCGACTGGGGGAGGAATCACCCCCAAAATGAGAGAACGGTGACCCAGCGCGGGAGAGAGCTGGTCAAGGGGCATGGCTGGGCATTGGGTGAAAGTCGAGTGGGAGGCGAGGAGCCCTAGGTGCCAACGTGCCCCTGTGAGTGGATCCAAGGCACAAGAGTGCCAACAGACCCCAGGAAGCACGTGCCAGTTCCCAGGCTTTATGACCTCGGCCACAAGAGGGGCATCTGAATCCTGATGGGGGACAGAATCTTTACAAAAACCACGATAGATGCTACTGCATAAACAAACCCTTCATGACTTACAGTCCTCACAAACTACTGAGAGAGGATGTGAGCTTCCAACAGGAGAAAAAACGATAAAGGACACTAATAGTGTCACAGGAATGGACATCAACTAACAGACGACATCCTAACTCAGCAATAATCAGAGAAACGAAGGCCAGTCTGGTTTCACAGAACCAAGAAGTGACTTTTTTAAGAGCTCCGACGTTCTGCTGAAAACGCTCACCAATGGCGGGGAGCACCCGGTCACGCAGGCGGCCGGGGAGTCGGGGTGCACAGCCTGCATCCAGTTCCAGGCCTGGGCACCGAGTCTGACCAAGCACATGAAGGCGCGTCCACAGGGGTCACTGCTAGTGACCTGTGGCTCCAGGAGCAGGCCTGACGTCCAGGCCACGCGCACCGTGGACCCGCGGCTGTGACAGGCGCTCCTGGCACAGACAGGTGTCAGGAGGGTGGGAGAGACCTAGGCTGAGCGCAGGGGCTCGCTGCTCTGAGCCAGGCGCGGAGCTGGGAGCCTGCAGCTGTTCCCCTGGTCTGCACCGTCATCCCAGGAGGCACATGCCAGCGCCTCAGCTTACAGAGGAAGAGAAAGGCTGGAAGAGACCCCCGACTGACGCCAAGGTCACTGACTGAGCCCAGGTCCCGGAGCCCTCCCGACCGCAGGGACACTTCAGCAGGTGCCGGACGGACACAGAGGCCAGCGCTGCACGCACTGCTTCAAACAGCGAGCCACCACACCAAGCAAGAGGACAGAAACGGCCAGCATGACGCATCGGATGTTGCAACCACGGCCTGGCCCAGCAGACGCCATTCCAAAACGCGGCGTATCACAGGGCTCCTTCACTTTCTAGAGAGACCAATAACCTAATTTTTGACTATTCCGTACACAACTTGTCTTCTAGAACGTCATTCTTACATGAGAAGTCACTTCTGGATTGGGTAATGAAGCGTCATTTTAATCAATGCCAGTATTTTCCATCCTTATTATCTATTAGCAAGTTTAGAAAAAGAAGCACAGAAGAACAGGCAGCATTATTTACCTTTGACGTACACACTGTTTACAACTGCCTTTGCATCAGCCCTGGAGGCAGGAGCTGAGGCGATTCCCGTTACAGAGACAGCGAGCTTCCCTGAGGGAGAGGGAAGTTCCCAGTTTAGAGACAAACCTTGGAAGTCACAGTGAACATCCACTGCAGGGGTCTGCAGCAAACCACATCCAGAAGAACAGACTCCGAGACACAGCAGTAGAATGGAGGTGAGGAGGACCCGTGCGAGAACAGGCCTACAAAACACTGCTAGGATCCAGACATCCTGGTTCAAATCAGGGTTCAGATTTTACCCAAGTGCATGGCTTTCTCTGCCTCGCCTCCTGGAATCAGGGTGCTGCCACTGACCTACACGGTCCCCCACCCTGCTCCCTGGGAGCACCTACCCACGACCCCCGTCCTCCTCACGGCGGGGCCGCGCCTCTGTCCTGTGCGGCCGCCCAGCACTGCGTGCACGCAGCCGGCAGCGCGGGAGGGAGGCGGGCCCGGGCCAGGCTGCTGCAGGCATGGGGGGCTGTCTGCCACACCCCGCCCTCCTCTGGCTCCTCGGCCATTAATCCACAGTCTGCTCACGCACTGGGCCCTCACTGGGCAGATCACTCCCAACAAAGCTTGAACTGACCGACCGACTGCGTGGCCCACAGCGCTCAGGGGACCCAGGCAGGCGGTTGAGGGGCACTCTAGGTGGTTGAGGGGCTGGTCTCCGGGGTGGGCGGGCCGCCTGGCCCGAGGCAGCACCCCAGGGTCTCACCAGGGCAGGACTCAAGCTTGTTGAACCTCCTTCACACACTTCATTTTATTACAGACACCATCCATGGGGTCCTCACTAGGCCAACAGCAAGATACCAGATTTTAACTTTTACTCAATTTCACAGATGTCAAATGTGATGAAAAATTGAGATATCAGAATGGATGTGGCCATTCACAGTGTTCCTAGGCACACCAAAAAGGGACTGAAGAATTTATTTATGAAAAAAGAACTAGCAATGATGCTAATGGATTGATGAGCCAAGAATTCCGGGATGTCAGGCTCTACTCTAGCTGGCTCAGAGGAAACCTGGCGGAGGCCTCCCTGCCTGTCTGCAGGTCAGCTTCCCACAGGGAACTGCACTCAGCTCCACCTGCTCCATCCCCACCGACCGAGCTACACTGAACCTCGGAGGGAAAGACAGCAGATGCATTCAGAGAGACCTGTTGTGGAATTAAATCAGTCTGTTCTTCAGTAGCATTATGTGACTTTTTGTCTTTGTGAAAATAAGAGGACTCCCACTCCACAGCACACATGAGGAGACTGTGCCGACACTCCAGGGAAGGCAGGTCTCACAGTATTTCTGTGCACGGCACAGCGCTCTCTGCACAGTTGATTTGAGCACTGCCACTGACTAATTCATGACAAGTACTGGATAGTTTAAAAAAAATGTACCATATACCTGCAGTGCCGTGACTCTAAACGGATCTCAGAGTCGTCCATCTTCGTCTTTTAAATTATAGTCTTCTGCTCTTTTATCCCCTTCACTTATTTACCATACATTAACAGTTTTATCTGAAAAGAAAAATTTCATTATCTATATTAAAAGAAAAACTGTATGTTATGCACCGGTACTAGCTGAGTGTTACAGCAGAAAACTGTGGTTCTACCCTGGTTTACAGGGTAGGAGTATTAAACATTAGTATTTCCAATTATACACAAACATCTTGTTTCCTACAAATAAGTAAAGACATAAAGACGTATGCAGAATTAGGAAATGTACTACTGGGAGTGTGTTTTGCATACTTTGAGTTTTCAACCTGTCACTTGCTACCTAATAATTTACCATCCCCCCAAATTTTAAAGCAGAAATAACTTCCAAAGAAGGTTAAAATAAAAATGAATCTACACATAGAAATAAAATCCTAACCCAAACAGCCACTTAAGGAAAAAACGGCTCTTACCATTTGTCCAGAGCAGAAAATAAGCAGCATTCTGTTAGGTAACCACCTAATTTTATCAATTTTTTCTTCAATTTCCAGACTTTTCAAATAGTCCAACTCTTAATGACTTTGAAAGGTACTGTAAACGTTATACTCCCCCCTGGAATAAGGGTGGCTTTTATTCTGCAAGAAAACAGAAAGCCGTTTTAATGAAAAGAACACAACGTACGTAGAAAAACATTCAGTACTCCCCATTTGAATATCAAATGACCACATGCATTTTTAAAAGTTATTAAAAAGTCTGGGTCAAATAAATGTCAAACAGGGGACACTCAGAATTAACTTTACTTGGAAGAAACAGATAATGAGGCCAAATCCCCAACCTCCTTTTCCACCTGCAGGCATCTGGCGGAGGGCAGGGTCTGGGGTGCTAACCCTGTGTGCACAAGGACGCGGCCGCCTGTGCTGCTGGGTGGGGGGTGGTGCTGGCCCCGTGGAGAGCCCTGAGCTCACTCCTCCAGGGTGAGCCACGGGGCACGCTCCCCATCACCTTCGATAGCAGCCAGCACGTGCCGGCACCACCAAGGAAGGGAGTGCTACCCGGTAGAGTCACGAGTGAGCCGTTATGGTCTAGGAACCAACGCAGGCGCATCCCGCAGCACGTCAAGGGGAAGCGAGCTGCATGAACAGACCTGTGGTGAGATGCCTCTCATGCAAAATTTTCACACACACAGAACAATTCTACACACTGCAATAAAAACAGACACACAAGCTAATGACCGAGTCTGGGAGGCACAGAGATAATAACATAAGGTTTGGGAATAACAGGGCAAGATGACATGGTGGTGGGAGGGGTGGGGCGAGACGCGTGTGTCGTCCACAGGCCCAGCATCTCCTTTTCTTTCATAAAGAAGGCAAGCCTGGGTGCTGGGTTCATAAATATATTTATACTAATCTCTGAAATCGTCTGCATGTCCAAATTGACATTTTCTATGAAACAGTAGTGAAGTGAAAGTCACTCAGTTGTGTCTGACTTTTGGGACCCCATGGACTATACAGTCCATGGAATTCTCCAGGCCAGAATACTGGAGTGGGGAGCCTTTCCCTTCTCCAGGGAATCTTCCCAACCCAGGGATCGAACCAGGTTCTCCTGCACTGCAGGGGGATTTTTACCAACTGAGCTATGAGGGAAACTCCTTGAAATAGTAAGTATTTCATAACTAAAAATCAAGGAGACCAGCATTTTAATTCTTACTCTGTAACCAGGATCTAAAATCTTACACTTCTTAACATGTTAGTATGTGTGTCCAATAAACGGAATAAGCAAACTTTATGTCTAGACAGACACCTCCTTATGATTCTGCATCAAGACCAGGTATTAGGAAAAACTCCCCAGACCACCCACATTCCCTGCGACCCAGCGCTCCTCAGCAGGACCCTGGCACTCCCAGCCTGTCCCCACGGGCGCGGGCTCAGCAGTTCACGCTACTTACACTGCTCTCCCTCTTCATGGCCCTCACCTGCTTCACAAAAAAAGCCAAATACACCAACAGATACTTCAAGCTCTTGAATGAAAAAATATTTAAAAGGAAAATCTGTGGCACTGGTGGGTCCCGGGCCTCAGATGTGACTCTAGGAAGAAAAGCGGCCATCACAGTGCTGCCCGACCTTCCCGGGTCACTCTCTCCTGGAGCGCCACCCTCAATTCCTGGAACCTGAGGTCACTGCGAACCCTCGGCCCTTGTCCTCCACCCTGAGGCCCCATGAGCGGGGAGGGTGGGAACAGAACGGGGGATGGAAGGGACTCCAAGCAGCAGAGGGTGTGGGGAACAGAAGACGAGGAGAGGGGGACGGTGGAGTCCAGTTTGTTTTGGGGCACGCTGGTCCCGTTAGTTTCGATGTCTCTGGGGGCTCCCGCAGAGAAAACCCATTCTGCATAGAGGTGGGAGCCATATCCACAAGCTGCTCAGCCCAGACAGACACGCTGGGGTCCTCGGGCTGAGGGCTCTGCTGCTAATGTGGAAGAGAGCTGGAATATCCGATGCTAATTTCGGTGGCTCCCCCCTGACTGAATGTCCTGTGTCTCCCCCAGCCAAGAAGAGGGCTGCTCCAGCCTCCACAACTTCCACACTTCACTGATTCTGAAAGGCATATTCTGACCCCTCGGGAAGTTTTCTGTGGCTTCTGATCGAGAGCTGCGGGACTGTAACGGGAGCAGTGCCATCAACCTCTGAGGCGACAGATGAAGAGTCAGTCCACACCCTCAGCCACGCTGTAACACGCAAGTCCACAACGCGGATTAACATACAGCCGCCACTGAGGCATCTTACAGGCAGATGGAATAGGAAAGCCTTCCTTTTATATTAACCAAATATGAGGAAAAAGATGGGGAAAAACGTTGCCCAGGATTTATGAACGTGCCATTGGTTGAGCTTATCAAATTTAAACAACTTTAGGTACCTGCTACTGTACAAATCTGTCACAACCTTGATTTAATACTTCTTCACTGAACATTTAATGAGACAGCTTCTCAAAACTACAATACTTATAAACACATTTTATAGCCAGATGCTTTTTACTGTAATTCACATTTGAAGCGAGTGTATTCTTAGGTTTAAACATGACCCCCCCAAAACAAGAAAAACTTCATTTTCTATAAGGACATTAATAATGTCCATTTTAATAAAATGGCAAACTTCAAGGAGTTAAAAGTGAACTCTTAAATTTAAGATAGCTATGGCTTAGTAATCAGTTGAATAATCCTTCTGCTAAAAGTAATATTCAAATACTACCACCCACTTCCACTTCTGTTGAAAAGCATATACAGCTCTTTTTACGTAGCTGTGTGATAATCTACCTCCAAAATAAGAATGCAAAATTATGAGTTTATCAAATGGTCTGCGAAGATTCCGAAATATGAAAGATATATATATTCGCAAAAGAACTGTTACCACCCCAATCAGAAAAAATACAATTAAAAATTCTTAATGTACACAGACATAATTAAACTGAGGGCTGCAACAGGCAGATGTTAATAACTAGCTGCTATATGTTAATAACCCAGGGCGAGTCCCGACAGATGCTACTGCGCACCCCTCTGCGGTCACAGCGGTGCATCTCCTGCTACAGGGAAGGAGCGAGGGCCCACCAGCCCCAACACCGGAGCTTCACCGCGATGCAGAGACCAGAACGTGGAGAGGAAAAGGGAACCGCACACCGACCTGCCGGGCAGCAGGCAGGAAGGCCCTGGGTCAGGGAGCCCCAGGCCTGGCCGCCGCGAGGGGCCCCACCCTCAGGAGCACCGCCAAGGCCACTCGCCAGGGGCCAGAGGGGCTGGGGGGCCGGCGCCCGCGCCCACTCTCCTCTTCGTGGTGAGTCAGAGGGGCTTCTGCCCCCCTGCCCCGAAGGGAGGGGCCTAACAGACGCGCCCACGGGTGAGGCTCGCCCGCGGCTCCTCCAGGGCCCGTGTGCTGAGGCTCGGGGCGCGCAGGGCAGGCAGCAACCAGCGGGCCGCGCCTCCACCGCGGGGGAAGGGTCTCCCTTCGCCATGGGACGAGAGCAGACAGACCCAGCGCCTCACCGCCACCCGAGCCCACCTGGGGGCGGGGGCACGGGCCCTGCTCCCGCCCTGTGGACGGGGGCTCCGGGCTTGGGTGGGGCTTCTCCGTGACCCCAGGACAGCCTCTGACAGAAGCCCCTCCACGGCGAACGTTAACACTGAGAAGCCACTGTGCTTGCTTCCCCACGAGTGAGACGGGAAGGGTCGAATGGCCTCGCCAGCCGGTGGACTGCAACTACTGACCTGTGCCTGCTGGAAAATAACTCCGCCGCCCGAGTCCCCTGGCAAGAGGTCTCCAGAGCAATTAAACTCAACAGTTGAGATGATGTCAGCGGTCAAGAAACATATGCAATCCACCAGGCTATGGTAAATGTGAAAAATCATCAAAAAGGATCAAAAGAAAGATGAGCACATGTGAAATTTCTCCTTGGATGAAGAAAATTTCCCCGAGAAACCTGAAATCATCCAGCAGCCACTTCCTGGCTCTGGGGCCCAGAGTCTGTATGGGTTCATTGGTCCCTGGCGCGTCGGCATTTCTCTAGACTGGGCTGTCTTGATACATGATATAGAGTAAACATTTAGGAAATTAATTTTCAGAAAAAACAAAAACAGAGAAGAACTGGCTCTAGAAGACTGCTGCCCAACGTATAACCCATGCCTGGCATCACCTTTAAAAACAAACCTGGTTCTTACACGACAGAGACAGAAATGCTTCCCCCTATGTGGTGACTGGTTAGCTTCTGTGCAGAGAATGCCGGTCAAATCTCAGGTCTGGGGCGTCACCGCCATTGGTAAGGATGACATCATCACCCAGTGGGATGCTGAGACTTCCGACACGGTCAGCAGAGAGATCTGGACATCTGCTCGGGAGGGTAAAGCGACAAGAACAAGGAGCAAAGCCCCGGCCGGAAAGGCCTCGGGTGTGCAGAGGCGAGCACTTCAGGCAGAGGAGACGGATCTGGGCTTAGGACACGGGTTTCTGGTCAGGAAGGACACCCAGGCTGGGCTTCAGGGGAAACCACCTTCCCTGGGGTTCAGCTTTGCTGAGCACCGACTGATCAAAGCCTTGGGTCTGGTCTCCTGAGGGGCTGGGGTGAGGTGTTTTCTGACCACAAGTCGACTCTTCACCTCGGTCAGCTGCTGCAGAGAATCTCCTCTCTGGCTGCTCCGTGGAAGGGTTCGAGCACTGCAGACCTGAGCCTGCAGCTGGGGCCGGCTCAAAGCAGGTATCCTACCTCCGCATTATGGAGAATAGAGCGTTCAAAGACAAACAGTGTAAACAGCTGTTACACACAACTTACCTACCAATGGAAAATAGACCCCAAAGTTGAAACTACTTGAAGAATGTCCCAGAAAAGTGGCCACAAAATAATGTAACTCTTGAGTGAAAAGTGAAAGTGACTCAGCCGTGTCCAGCTCTTTGCGACCCCATGGACTATGCAGTCCATGGACTTCTCCAGGCCAGAATACTGGAGTGGGTAGCCTTTCCTTTCTCCAGGGGATCTTCCCAACCCAGGGATCGAACCCACGTCTCCCGCACTGGAGGCAGATTCTTTATTAGCTGAGCTACAAGTGAAGCCCAACTCTTAAAAGATCTGCACAAACATTATTTGTTAATATACGATATCCTTCCTAAAAATAAGTTCTTACTTAGATGAGGTGGTTGGATACAATCACTGACTCGATAGACATGAATCTGGGTAAACTTCAGGAGATTCTGAGGGACAGCGAGGCCCAGAGTGCTGCAATTCCTGGGTTCACAAAGAATCAGACACAACTTACTGACTGAAGAACAAAAATGTACTGAATTCTGCCACCTGGGTTTTTTTTTTTTTTTTCTTTTAAATCTTCAGTAAGCCTTGGGAAAGAATAAAGCTTCTTGTTACAAGTGTCACCTTTTAAATTAAATTACCTGAAATAACCAAATTTGCTTAAATGAAACCAAAATATTCTTATTGGACTAAAAATCTATATCACTTATACCCAGGGGGTGCACAATATTATATAATTAATGGTATCCAGCTCTGCCAGTGATTCTCACACTTAATTAAAATGGCATGAATATTTTAAGAGAAACTCCGTGACTGCCAGCGGTGAGAAAAATTATTTTCATTAAGCTATGTAAATAAGTATGAGCCTAAATACCCTCTGTAGCTTTTAGAAGAGCTCTAAAATCAAAATAAACAAACTAAATACTAACAAAATAAAACAACCAATAAAATTTAAATTTCCAACATGAATTTAATCTGATTACAGATGCCAGTTAAAAGCAAACTATAGTTTATCAAAATGTGAGGTGGCAAATGATGGTCTCAAGATTTAAAATATTTCTCCTATATGTAAAGGTGTATCAGAAAAACAATGAAATTGTTGCAGGAAGGGGGACCCCTTCCAGGGCCCAAAACTGGGCTCTTGTCTAACTCCCAGAAATGAATTGTCCGAGGAGACACATGTACTGACAAAGCAAGAGATTTTATTGGGAAGGGCGCCCGGGTGGAGAGCAGGAGGGTGAGGGAACACGGGAGAACTGCTCTGCCGCGTGGCTCCCAGTCTGGGGTTTCATGGTGATGGGTCATGGTGATGGGATGAGTTTCTGGGTGGTCTTTGGCCAATCATTCTAATTCGGAGTCTTTCCTGGTGGCGCACGAATCGCACAGCCAAGATGGATGCTAGCGAGAGGGATTCTGGGAAGTGGACGGACAGGCGGTGTCTTCTTTCGACCTTTCCCAAACTCTTCCGGCTGGTGGTGGCTTATTAGTTCTGTATTCCTTATCAGGATCTCCTGTCATAAAACTCATGCAAATGGTTACTGTGGTGTCTGGCCAGGGTGGGAGGTTTCAATCAGCGTGCTCCCCCTAACAGCTCCCCCCCGAGAGACTTCATACTCAAGATGCTTCTTGGGAATTGGGGCGGAGGTCTCTTTCTTCTGTAACTTCTTCCTGCTGTGCCTGGGTGTAGGCTTGCCTAGCAGAGCAGAAGTCTCTCTCTACCTGATCTAAGTTGGGGTGTTCCACATCTGAAACCAGCTTTCACCCTTGTAATAACAGCAATTTAGTTTGAAACTGTTGGCTCCTCTCAGAGATGAAATAGAAAGGGGCCAAACAGGAGACCTAACAGGATGGTCATCACTGGTCCCCAGGAACAGGAGGCAACATTTGGGGTGAGGGCTGCAGGGTTTGTGACTTTTTTTTTTTGGGATTGGCTGGTGGTGAAGCAACAGAGCTGTGCTCCAGGAATCTTGTGTTTAGTCTGAAGTTACCATCCTCCACCTGGGTGGGGGCTCCAGTTCTGTAGAAGAACTCAAAGACGTTGTTATGCATATTTCTTCGAGTAGGAACCAGGACCCTGTCTCAAGGCTGTACCACCATTCGATCCTTTCTGCTCTGTTTCTGTATCCTCTCCCCTCCCTGATTAGCAATCATTTGAATCCACCCTTTGGAACTCAGGGAAGGTCAAGGAGGCTGAGTGAAGCCTATATCCTACAGATAAGAAATGGAGAACACACAGCAGATCTGTACTCCAGAGTCGCCACCCCACAGAGTCCTGCTCAGTTTTAATTTAGGGAACAGGGCAACTATGACTGTGATAAGTTCCTGTCAAAATGGGGCATAGGACTGCCTCAGCTTGGAGAAGAGACACTGAATTGGAAGTATTCCTGAGTTCTAGATCTGAGCATTGTATGATTAAAATCTCAATCCCTTGGTCTGCCATTTTGTTGTAACATACCCAGTTAGTAGTAGCTGGAGGAGGGGTAACTGGAATTTTAATAGACAAAATAAATCTCTTTCTTTTTAGAAGAATAGGCCTAAAACCCAGTCTGAACCTGGCACTTCGGGGAGACTTTTAGCCAGGTGGCCAGTTGCCTAGTTTTATAAAACGTAAGGCAGAAGTTACTAGCTTCCAGCAGACATTGTTTTGAGAATGGTGGCATCTTAGCCTGACATGATTCAGAAAAGTCAAGTGTTTAGCAACACGAGGTCTAATCTGAAATCACAACCATAGTAACACCTGGTTATATCCCAGGATGTCTGAACCATAGCTGAGTACTCTATTTTGACTTTTAATTGTAAAATTTTCCTTAATAGCCAAAGCAGATGTCACCATTAATGACGTCAGTGTTACTCTAGGTATGAGAAGATTCAAGAATCGGGACTCATAAAATCTCCTGAAAAGGTCTAACTATCTGAAGGCCTGTTCTGCCAGTTTTTCTCAGAGCACCGAGTGCCTCATTCCTGATTTTCACCCTGAACTCCTTTCAGGGCCATTGAAAGTCAGCAGTTGCAGTGGCCATGATTTAATCTCTGTAGATGTAGATGGCAAGTGTCAATCTTCAGTTGGCAGAGCCCCTTTTTGCTCATAACTTGACCATGATTTTGAGGGGGGGCATTTCATGACCCTTTTATCCCATGGTGCTGAGAATGTCCATTCTCAGGTTTGGCTAAGATTTTGCTGACAGGCCACTCAATGTGCTGTGACTGGACTAGGTCATAAAGCAGTATCCAAAATTCTCTGGACCACCTGTCTTACTAGCCTCTTGGTCCAGGAAAACATTCCCTCTTGTTGCTTCTTCCCATATCTAGAGTTATACTGTTATCAACATCGATCTCATAGGGAACTATATATTATTCTATCAGAGGCCTCAGTCACACATTTGGCAGTGTAAGAAACAGCAATTTTGTGAAACAGGTGAAATACAAAGAAACATAGCCAGCAGTATTAGTAAAGTCACAAGTAAGACTTAAGAGCTTTCATTAGATGTAGCCCAGCATATCCCAGGTCGTCTGACTTAGTCCACTCTATACGAATTTTTATGTTTCAGGGAAATTATACGTTGGCACCACTGTCTAAAAGGCACATAGCCCAGTTTTCTAGTGTTATTAGACTGATAATCCTTAGTATGATTTAATTGTTTCCAACACAGAGGAGACTTTAAACCTAAATTACCATAGCTTGGTGTTATCTATATAAATCCTTCCCATAATTGTGGGAGATTTCTTTCTCCTTTGCTGAAACTTTCTTGTTTTTTGTTGCTTTGATTGAGCTTGAGTAATAGAAAAAGGCTCAAATTTATGGCCAGAGTCGGAGCAGGCATTATTAATTGGCCTGGTGAG